GTATTCCCTTTGGACTTCGGCAGATCAGTCATAAAATCTATCGACACTGCCTCCCAAGGTCGTTCTGGGGTTGGTAAGGGTTCTAATAGCCCCGCCGGCGCCCGCCTTTCCCCTTTGGCTCGCTGGCATTGCTCGCACCCTCTTACATACTCACGTACATCTTCCCTCACCTTAGGCCACCAAAATTCCCTGGTGACCAACCACATGGTTTTGTGTTGTCCAAAATGCCCCGCCGTAGGGCTGTCGTGCAACTGCTTGAGTACCCTCCCCCTTCACTCTCCTTCAGGGATATACAGTGCCCCTTTGTAATACAAAGCTCCATTTCTTTCCTCGAAACCCCCTGGTTCCTCTCCATCACCCCCAAGACCTCTGAGCTTATTCTGGGCGTATTCATCATTCTCTGTTTCCTCTACCAGTTCTCTTTGTCCCACCAATGCCGCCCCACACACCCAGCGGTCTTCTGGAATGACATGTCTCTCTTCGGGTGCCCCTCCCCTCCAAATATTCAGGTTTGCGTGAGAGAGCGTCCGCCCTAATGTTCTCTGGGCCTGGCACGTAACTAATCTCAAAGTTAAATTTGGAGAACTCCTGGGCCCATCTCACTTGCCATTGGTTGAGCACTCGTGCCGTCCTCCAATACTCTAGGTTCTTGTGGTCAGTGCACACTTGCACCTTATGTTGTGCGCCAATTAGCAGGTGCCTCCATCTCCGGAACGCCTCATGAATGGCTAGTAGTTCTCGGTCATACACCGTGTAGTTCCTCTCGGGTTTGTTCAGCTTTCGCGAAAAAAGGCACACGGTCTCCACTCTGACCCCTTCTTGCCTGGCTGCAGAAGCACCGCCCCAATCGCTCTGTCTGATGCGTCAGTTTCCACTCTCATCGGTTTTTGTAAATCCACATGCAGGAGTTGTTGTTCCGAGGCGAAGGCCCTTTTTAGTTCCTCAAATGCTCGCTCCGCCTCCTCAGTCCACACGAACGTCTTCTTACTGCTGAGACAGTCCGTAATGGGCGCCGTCAGGTGGGCAAAGTTTCGGATGAACTTACGATAGAAGTTCCCAAATCCTAGGAACCTCTGCACATCCTTCTTTGTTTTGGGTGTTTTCCATTCCAGCACAGCCTGGACCTTGCCGGGATCCATGGCCAATCCCTTGTCTGACAGGCGATACCCCAGGAATTCCACCTCCTTGGTATGAAACTGACACTTCTCCAGTTTCACCCACAGCTGGTTGGCTTGCAGCCTGCTCAACACTTCTCTGACGTCTCTCACATGCTGCTCCTCATTCTCAGAATACACCAACACGTCGTCTAAAAAGGCCACACAATTCTTGTAAAGCAAAGGCCCCAGGACGTGGTTCATAAACGATTGAAATGTTGCGGAGCCTCCTTGTAGGCCGAAGGGCATAACCAAATATTCAAATGCCCCTAAAGGGGTGAACATAGTGGTTTTCCATTCATCCCCCTTCCTTATTCGTACCAGGTTGTACGCCCCCCTTAGGTCCAGCTTTGTAAAAATCTTTCCCTTCCGCACCCTTGTCAAAATGTCGTCAATCCTGGGCATAGGGAAGGCTACTGGTTCTGACACTGCATTTAAGGCCCTGAAGTCACACACCAGCCTCGGCTTGTTCGTGTTTTTCTTATCCACAAAAACACTGGGCTGCCCCCCACCGCCCTGGACTCTCTGATGAACCCTCTCTTCAGGTTCTTGTCAATGAACTCTCTTAACTCCTGCATCTCTCTGTCTAACATGGCGTACAGCTTGCCTACAGGGAGCTGTGCTCCAGGGAGTAAGTTGATTTGACAGTCAAAGGGTCTATGCGGGGGTAGTTGGTCAGCTTCCCTTTCGCTGAAGACGTCACGGAGATCTGCATATTGTCGTGGTACCTTCACGTTCTCTGTTACTTCAGTCCCTGCTAGGGTGGCTTGGACCCCTGCCAAACCCTTTCCCTCTTTGCAGTGTTCTAAGCAATGTGCTGAACCAAAAGAAACCACTCTCTGATGCCAGCCCACCAGCGGATCATGTAACGCTAGCCAGCTCATCCCCAATATAATGGGAGCTCCTCCCAAGGTGGCCACATTAAAAGCTATCAGTTCGGTATGCCTTGCTACCTTCATTATCATTGGGACGGTCTGCAAGCTGACTTCTCCACCCAACAGCTCCCTGCCATCGATCGTGGTCACCTGCAGGGGCTGCTTAAAGGGATTGTCTGTATCTGGTGTTCAGCTGCAAACTCTTTGCTCATGAAATTGCAGGAGCTGCCTGAGTCCAACAGCGCCTTTATCTTTAGAGGGTGTCCGTTTGGCAGCTCTAGCGTCACTTCTATCACTAGGGCGGGTTTAGGAGGTTCTGGCGTGGGCACTCTCACTGCTCTTTGGCCTGGCTGCTGTGCCCTGACAGTGGCAGCCAGGCGTTGGCTTTTACTTGCTCCGGTATATTTTCCTCTCTTCCATCCACAGCCCCTACCATCCCTTGCCATTCTTTCCTCTGGGGGCAGACTCTGGCAAAGTGACCTGGCTGTTGGCAGAGATAGCATTTCCGGGCGCCTTTTCCCTCCTTCTTTGCCCCCTCACTGGGCTTTGAAACTGCGCGTGCGCGCGCTGTTCCGATTTCCATCGGCTCTGCCGGTGGGAAAGTTGGCTCTGGAATGTCTGGAATGCGGAACTCCTTCCAACGTTCCCCTTCCCTTCCCGCCTCTCCAATGCTCTCGCCTCCTGGCGCGCTCCTATGGTCAGCGCTGATTTGGTCAGCTGGTCCATAGACTCCGCCCTGGGCGCCCGGGAAAGTTCGTCTTTCACAGCCGAAGAAAGCCCTTCTTCAAAGAGCATTTGAATGGGTTCCGCCGATAAGTCCCACCCCAATCTGTGAACAAGCATGGTGAACTCAGTCCAGTACTCACGGACAGATCGGCTCCCTGTTTGCAACCCATTAACTGTCTGCGCACCACTCCTTTTCATTAGCGCTGGAAAACATCAGATCCATGGCGCGAAAGAACTTCATCGTGTCTTTTAAGACGTCACTATTCGCTGCCATCAGGGGTCTAACCCAGTCTCTCGCCCCTTTTTCAAGATGCTCAATCACGAAAGCCACTCGTGATTCCTCGTCAGGGAATTCATCAAACTGCAGATTGAGGGCATATTGCATTTCTGTCCGAAAACCATGATAGTTTTTGGGCTCCCCCCCAAACTTCTGCACCAATCCTGGTACCTTTCTGGCGAACTGGGTGGCTTTCCCCCCTTTTGTCTGCATCCTGAGCCCTCCTCCCCTCAAGCCTCGCCGTCTGCATCGCTAGCTGGACCTCCAACATCTGGTACCTTTCTTCCAGGCTTGGACCCGCTCCAGCTCCTGCTTCTCCGGTTCCGGCTGGGTTGCTCATGATACCTTCTCCTGCACAAGCTGCTTTCAAAGACTGTCGGAATGCTGTGATGGGATGATGAGCTGCTTGTGCGTAAAATCGTATCCCCTCAGAGTTTGTTCAAGTCCACAAACCTCTGTCTGTGACAGAGCCCCTCAGACATGGCTACTCTAGTCACTAGCAGATTCCGACAGTGGTTGCTTTCGTAATCGCTTCCAACATAAAAGCTCCTTAACGGAAACACGTCTTCTGGAATCTCTGCGTGACAGTTTCCGGCGAGGAGTGGGTGTTCTTACAGGAGGTCCTGAAACCTCTCCACTGTTTTCGCTGGAAGTGTCTCTGAGCCATCCCTCCAGCTCAGCTCCTCTCCCCTGCTGGTTCCCTCATCAGCTGCTGCGTCTCTCCCAACCTGTGTGAGCCCTTTCACCTCCCTGTTGGTTTCCTCTTCAGCTGCTGCGTCTCTCCCAACCTGTGTGAGCCCTTTCACCTCCCTTCCGTCCGATGGCAGTTCCCTGACAATCTGCAATTTTGATACAGAGTCCCATCACTTCTTCATCTAATCCGATTGGGCAAAGCTTTGTCCCTCCAGATGTTGCTGAACTACATTGGCTATTTACAATGGCCATTGCTGCCATGGCTGATGACCAAATATCTGCAGAGCCAGAGGTTCCTGTCAACAGAACTAGATAATTGATAAAACTGTTGATGTGCACCATGCCCAGAACAGAGACCTGTGACACCCCAAACAAAGCCTCTCTACAGTTTGATGGGAAGCAGTTAGTAAGTTTTCTTTGAGAATGGTTTCTCAGACACACCACTAGAAATCCAATTAAAACAAACATTTTGGCAGGATTTATTCTTTACAAACCCATGCTGGTTTCTACTAATTACTGCATTGTTATAAAAATGCTTACAAAGTGACTCCTTTATAATGATCAGTTTCAGTGTGTTCCCTGGTACCAAAGTCAGACAGACCAGTCTCTAAATTCCTGAGTCTTCCTTCTCTTCCCATTGTGAGCTTTAACTGGATATGTGTTTTATTTTAAAGTATATTTTATTAACTTTTCCATTAATGCAATGGTCCAGAACTGGAGGTTCCAGGGCTGGCTCACCCATGAGGCAAGGTTAGGGGACTGCCTCAAGTGACAGGATCCACTGAGACACCAGATCCCAGTGTCAATCTTTCTTCTCCCTTGTTCCTGATGTTCCTGATGTAGATCTTCTCTTTTGATTTACAATGTGATGGTACATGTGTATTATTATTATTATTAAATTATAATGTAATGTATTGTTTGTTTGCTACATAAAGTCTCTAGAAAACATAAAATCGGAAAAAGTAACAATATGTTACAATAAAAACTACACAATAGGACAGACCCAGTATAACAGCAGTCCCCTGAAATAAAAATAATTTTAAAATGGTGGCAAACCATGTCATTCAGCAATACTCTAAAACCCAAAGAATGTGGAACCCAAAGGATATTTCACTTTTTCACTTTAAATATTTATATACCACCCAATAACAAAGGTTTTTGCGCTGTTTGCTAATAGCAATTGAAACCACAAAATGCAATATAAGTGAGAACATTAATGGAGCAGAACTAGAGGAATTCAAAGATGCCTCATTTGGGGAGTGGGCAGCTAAAAACATGAAGAACTGTTCCCACAATGCACAGACAAAACGAGTTGGTTGTAGCTATTTTGGAACAAGACGAAACAAGAAGGTATGTTGGTGATTTGGCTGTGTTAAGCTGCATTGAATAAATAGCGCCCTTATGTTATTCTGCAGCAGATATGATAGGACATAATCCAGCCGAAGTTTGTATTTAAGTATTTAAGTCCAACTGAACACAGTAGGAGAGATCCATACACACACTTAACAGTGCAATGCAAATGGTATACTCTCAGAAGTCCCATTTTGTTACCGTATTTTTCGCTCTATAACACGCACCCGACCATAACACCCACGTAGTTTTTAGAGGAGGAAAATCCGTAGGCATGCCACCCGTAGGCATTCCCTCCATAACACGCACAGACATTTCCCCTTACTTTTTAGGAGGAAAAAAGTGAGTGTTGTGGTGCAAAAAATACGGTAATTGGTAACAGTACCAGGTAAGTGTATTTTAGAATTTCAGCCTTTCCCCCCCATAAAAGTCAATGATGCTTAAATGTGCTTAACACTGCAAATGATTTTAAATAAGAAATGTTTACAATGTAAGTAAGAAAAAGAAATGGACAAGTGAATAAAATGCAAAATTTAAATACTTGATAGTGGCATTTTTACCAGCAGATGTCATCTTACTATATCAATATAAGATGTTTTAATTGTTTCATTGTATATGTATATACACACACACACACACACATTTATATCTGTAGGAGGAAACAGAATATTCTAAATGTTATTTTAATGTTTGTGAGGGGCACCATGACACCCTCAGACACACTCCAAGACCACCTGCAGCACCCAATTTTTATTTTTAAAATGAGATTTCTATTTTGTCATTTGACTGAGTTTATTTATTTATTTTTACCAGACATCTTTATTGAAAGTTAAAAAATATATAATTATATGTGCACTAAACATGGTGAGATGTAAATAAAAGAAATAAAAAGAAGTAGAGAAACAGCACCCGTGTAGAAGGGAAAGTAAAGGGGGAAGGAGAAAAAAACCCCCAAAATTGTATATTTTACAAAGTTATTATTGTACTTCACCAGATCTTAACCTATTACAGTATTTGTAAGAATGGATTCCAGATATCATTGAATTTGTCCATGGCAAGTCTGCATTTAATGCAAGGTTTTGAGTTTGTATAAGTCTTCAATCCAATCGTAGAAGGGAGCTGCATTTTCATTTTTCCAGTCATTTTGCTGTGGTAAGGGCGCAGAGAGTCCACTCATATCATCCTTTTGTAAGGTTCCATGTGCTGGAAAAGGATATTTTGCACTGTAAATGTAAGGTTATTCCGTACAGTTCTTTTGATAGTTTCAATTACCTTCTGCCAAAAATCTTTCAATATAGGACAATAAAAAAGCATGTTTTAGAGAAGCATTATCCCTATTGCATCTCCAACAGTTAGATACCTTAGATAGCCCTTTTTAAAATAAACATAATGGGGTCCAGTGGACATCACCAGATGGGCAGCATGAAAATCAGATTGATTATATTCTCTGCAGCCAAAAGCAAGACCTGGAGCTGACTGTGGCTCAGATCATCAGCTTCTTATAGCAAAATTCAAGCTTAAACTGAAGAAAGTAGGAAAAACCACTGGGCCAATAAGATACAATCTAAATCAAATCCCTTATGAATACACAGTGGAAGTGAGGAACAGGTTTAAAGATTTAGATTTGGTGGACAGAGTGCCTGAAGAACTATGGATGGAGGCTTGTAACATTATACAGGAGGCAGCAATGAAAACCACCCCAATGAAAAGGAAATGCAAGAAAGCAAAGTGACTATCCAACGAGGCCTTACAAATAGCGGGAGAGAGAAGGCAAGCAAAATGCCAGGGAGATAGTGAAAGATACAGGAAATTGAATGCAGATTTCCAAAAAATAGCAAGGAGAGACAAGAGGGCCTTCTTAAATGAGCAATGCAAATAAAGAGGAAAACAACAAAATGGGAAAAACCAGAGATCTGTTCAAGAAAATTGGAAATATGAAAGGAACATTTTGTACAAAGATTACCATAATAAAAGACAAAAGTGGAAAGGACCTAACAGAAGCAGAAGACATCAAGAAGAGGTGGCAAGAATACACAGAGGAATTATACCAGAAAGATATGGATGTCTCGTACATCCCAGGCAGTGTGGTTGCTGACCTTGAGCCAGACATCCTGGAGAGTGAAGTCAAATGGGCCATAGAAAGCACTGCTAATAAAAAGGCCAGGGGAAGTGATGATATTCCAGATGAACTATTAAAATTTTTAAAAGATGATGCTGTTAAGGTGCTACACTCAATATGCGAGCAAGTTTGGAAAACTCAGCAGTGGCCATAGGATTGGAGAAGATCAGTCTACATCCCAATCCTAAAGAAGGGCAGTGCCAAAGAACGCTCCAACTACCGCACAATTGCACTCATTTCACACGCTAGCAAGCTTATGCTTAAAATTCTACAAGGCAGGCTTAAGCAGTATGTGAACCGAGAACTCCCAGAAGTGCAAGCTAGATTTTGAAGCGACAGAGGAACCAGAGACCAAATTGCAAACATGCGCTGGATTATGGAGAAAGCTAGAGAGTTCCAGAAAAACATCTACTTCTGCTTCATTGACTACGCAAAAGCATTTGACTGTGTCGACCACAGCAAACTATGGCAAGTTCTTAAAGAAATGGGAGTGCCTGATCACCTCATCTGTCTCCTGAGAAATCTCTATGTGGGACAAGAAGCTACAGTTAGAACTGGATATGGAACAACTGATTGGTTCAAAACTGGGATAGGAGTACGACAAGGCTGTATATTGTCTCCCTGCTTATTTAACTTATACGCAGAATTCATCATGTGAAAGGCTGGACTTGATGAATCCCAAAGATTGCCGGAAGAAATATCAACAACCTTAGATATGCAGATGACACAATCTTGATGGAGGCTGGAATTAAAGAACCTTTTAATGAGGGTGAAAGAAGAGAGTGCAAAATATGGTCTGAAGCTCAACATCAAAAAAACGAAGATCGTGGCCACTGGTCCCATCACCTCCTGGCAAATAGAAGGGGAATAAATGGAAGCAGTGAGAGATTTTACTTTCTTGGGTTCCATGATCACTGCAGATGGTGACAGTAGTGACGAAATTAAAAGACGCCTGCTTCTTGAGAGAAAAGCAGTGACAAACATAGACAGCATCTTAAAAAGCAGAGACATCACCTTGCCGACAAAGGTCCATATAGTTAAAGCTGTGGTTTTCCCAGTAGTGATGTATGGAAGTGAGAACTGGACCATAAGGAAGGCTGATTGCCGAAGAATTGATGCTTTTGAATTCTGGTGCTGGAGTAGACTCTTGAGAGTCCCATGGACTGCAAAAAGATCAAACCTATCCATTCCGAAGGAAATCAGAAGGGGGTGACAGAGGACAAGATGGTTGGACAGTGTTCTCGAAGCTACCACCATGAGTTTCACCAAACTGCGGGAGGCAGTGGAAGACAGGAGTGCCTGGCGTGCTCTGGTCCATGAGGTCACAAAGAGTCGGACACCACTAAATGACTAAATAACAACAAATGGGGTCCAGTATATTCTAAATATATTTTGTTGTTGTATGAGCCTCAATCTAAGGTCCAGAGACACCCTTGTTATAGCACTTTAAACAGTTTCTCACTCTATGGTCAAAATTGAGATCTCTAATTCTTTATTCCATTCTTCCCTCAGTTTATCAAATTGGTTTGCTAGTAACAAAGATTTATATATGTTAATGGCCAGTTTTTTTGTTGCGTAAGAATTAATCAGCTGCTTCAATATCTCTGGGGTCTCTGAGACTGTAAAAGCTATTGGTCTGTAGATGGTGGTTAGCAAATGTTTTATCTGGAGATACTGCCATTGACCATTTGTAGGTAATCTGTATTTGTCTCTTAAGACGGAATAAGTATAAAATTCATCCTCTTTGTTTATCAGCTGGTCTAATGTTAAGACACCCAAATTCATTGAATTTATTTATATGTTGCTTTTCCACAATAAGCTGTGCCCTAAGCAGTTTACAGCAAACATTCAAAACATTGAAATACAAAGCATTAGAAAGGCAAATATATAAAATACACAACATGTAAGTAAATTTAAAAATGACAAAAGCCAACAATTTGGCAAACACAGAATAAATTCAGTATTACCCCCACCCCCCCAACTAATCTAGGTTTTCGTAGATAAATACAAACTAAAACAAGAGTTAACCAACAACAGAGTTTCTGGTATGGGTCTCCAAGGAGCCTGGTTTTAATACAGTTCAGAATGGAGGAGGAGATTACATACAACTGGCTCCTATATCGTTACTCCAGAGAAGGCTGATAGGAGCAAAAAGCATATATTAGTTGCAAGTACCAACTGCGTGTACTTATTGCAATTGAGAGGTATTGCCTTTTGGTGGAGCTGTTTTGGTCTGTTTCCTTTGTCTAGGCGTGTAAGCATTTTGCCTGTTTTGGATGGGGGGGGTGGGATCTGAGCACTGATTAGTTTTCTTCTCTGATATGGCTATTTTGCGGTGCTGATGACTTTAAAAAAAATAAAAATAAAAAATGCTTTTCAAGTGTGCCCCTGGACTCCCAAAGGTTTGTGGCTCCTATACCATTGCCATGCTTGATTTCTTAAAATATCTTGCACTTAAGCTTAGTAATTTTACCGTGGTGGGTGAATTAAACTGTTAAAGCAACACACAGTAAATAGATGGTAACAGAACAAGCATTGCAGCAATTTACAATAAATAAAACATAGCACTGCTATTTCTGGATCACAATTCCCTGTAATTGTGGAAGTGTCTCCCCTAAGCAAAGCTCTTTATGTTTTAGGGAATTATTATCATGTGCTCAGCTCAGGCCATCTAGAATGTTGAGTACTGATTATGGACTATTACAGCTCTTTGAAATTTTATTAAAATAATAAGCTCATTGCCAGCTAAAGGTATGTAATTATATACTTGAAAATAACTATCATTTAGGCTCTGCAGTAAAAAGCACCATGTAGCCTCTATAAATTCCCACTTGTGCTGTTCAAAAATGACCCCCTTCTCAATTATTCTGATAAAACTCATGCAGACTAGGAGTTAACTTTGGATTGTAGGGCTGTATCTAGTGGAGAAGCATTTATTCAATTGAAGGCACCATTATAGTCAGTATCTGCTAAATAATGTAGACATGCTGACCCTTCGAGCTTTGGGTTTTCCCTTTTAAAGAGAGGGATTGATTTATGCAGTTTGTAACTGGTGAGTGTAGCATTTAGGAAGAAAGCATGAATTTGGCTAGTTTGTTCAAATCAATATCTCAAATCCAGCTTTTCTGTTTATTTATTTATTTTGCTTTTTTGGTACCCAGACCCACACATACCCCTTGCCTGTCCTCACCTGCCACACCTCTTGTCCCTAGTTTTTCACCAGCCATACACTGAGTCCTTTCTTCAGTTATATACTTCTTTCACTCACTGTTCCCTCAGGTCCGAACTTACCAGCTCTGTAGTTGCTCCACTAACATGGTTACACCCCACCCCCAAATACAATTAAATCACAGGGACTGTAGCTTACCCATCACAGAGCTACAATTCCCAGCATGTTTAACAAACTATAGTTTCCTGGATTCTTTCAAGGGAAGACACGTGCTTTAAATGTATGGTGTGTTTGCAGCCTAAGGCTCTAGACTGGGTTTGCCCAACATGATGCCCAGGATCAATCAGAAGGGGGGGGGGGCGAGGAGGGCCATTTAAGCTCAAATGCATGGGTGTAGCCAAGGGGGGGACAGCTCCCCCCCAAAATTAAATAAAACAATAGAATTTCTTAACTAACCAATCACATCAGTTCCACTCCCCTAACAAAAGTCCTGCCCCCCCCCAACAAAAATCCTGGCTACATACTTGTTTTTAAGCACATGGCATCAAATTGTGAAACACTCTAACAGCTTGGAGCTGCAGATTCAAGCGAGCAAGAGATGTGATTTGGTAAAAGACAGTATGTTTTTTGGTAACAGATGCATATTTTGTCATTCGCTCAATGTTAAAAGTGAATGGCACCAAGATTTTTCCTCAATAATTAGTGCATTTGCGCATAAAACGGCTAGAAAAGCATTTGTTAAATTAGGCATTTATTAAACCCTCTGCTAAAAAACCCACTTGACATCTCTGCTTATTTGCCTGATCTGGAGGCTGTGGATTTCGCTGATGTTGCTTAAAGGGGGGTCCAGGCATAAAAGAGGAAAGGATGAGGGACAGCCTTCCTAAGTTTGTCTATTTTTCTTATTGTGCCTGCACTTTCCTAGGATAGGGCCCACAAAGGGGAGCTATTATTTCTTATGTAACTTTATTATGCTATTGGACAAAAGGGTCTTTTGTGGCTGTATATTAACATATTGGAATAAATAATACTGTATATTTGGACCTAATGGTGTGGATATTGGGAGACCTGCTTAGATCTAGTGTTTCACCCATCTACCTGTGTGGGAGTACCCACGTGGTGCCACATTTCTTGGATACAGGGCAAATATTGGCCCACCTAGAAATCTCTAGTAAAAGATGACAGCCCACCCATGACACCGAAACATAGGAATTGTGGCAGCATTTATTTGTCTCTCTGTGTGCAAAGTTTAGCAGTGCTTTTTTTTCCTAGAAAAAAAGGTGTCAGGACTCACTGTCCAAAAATGGCCAGAGGAGGGACAGCCAAGTGGACAAAAGGGAGAAGCACTCTGCACATGCTCATGGAAGGAGGCAGCAGGGCTGCTCCCCAAAGCAGGGCAGGAGGCACTGATGCTCTGGTTGGAGAGGGTTGGAGAGCCCTGCCCTCCCTCAGTGGGAGAGGAAGGTACTGTGGTACTGCAGAGGGAGGCAAGCAGAGCAGGGAAGCCTTGGGCAAAAATGAGGTTCGTACCCCCTCAAAAAAAGCACTGAAGTTTAGTATTATTATTTTATTTTATAATGTATGTAAAACAGAGAGAACAATTAACAGCAGATAAAAATGAAAAGATGAAAAACAAAACTATAAAATAGGCACAAAGAATGAGTATGTGCACGAGTTAAAAAAGCAAAGTCCAATTAAATACTATAAATGCTATCAGATTGTCAAAGATAGTTCCAGATTTGCCAGGCTTGTGATTGGGATTGTCATGAAAATGATGGTTCCATTGTTTATGTCATTAAAAATTGCCAACTCAAATAAAAAGTGTCTGGAGGTTCTAGACCTTGCCAAAATCTCAAATTGTGTGTGATTTTCTCCATTATCACAGTACTTTTCCATGTTTAGGGTTTTTTATCTTTAAAATAAGGTTAAAAATCTGGGGGCGTCTTATAAATGGATAGTGCATATGGCCATTTTCTAAACTTGGAGTCCTCAAAAGTAGGGGGAGTCTTATACATGGGGGCATCTTATACACGGAAATATATGGCAATTCCAGACTGAGTGGTACCAAGTATACAGTGTAAGATTGTGAGCCATTTCCCACTGAGTTGCAATTACTAGTCATGCAGCCAAGATCATACTGTATATAAAACCAAGTCTTTTGGTAATATATTTACATTAAATTATAAAAAATATTCAGCAACAGTAATTTTGGACTGCAGACAGAAGTTTCTTTAGTAATATTTATCATTTCTCTCCAAATTAAATTCCAAAAATCTTGCACCAACTGACACTCCCACCATAAATGATTGTAAGTACCAAGTTCATAGCAGTCCTTCCCATGATTAGGTGATATAGAAGAAAACATTTTTGACATTTGCAAAGGAGTGTGATACCACCTGTGTAATACATTTAAGGGGCTTTCCCTAAGAGAACTGGAAAAAGATTTTAAGGGTTGCGATTCCCAAATCTGATTCCAATCCTTGGGAAGAATGTGTGTGCCAGCATCTAGTTCCCATATATTTTTTAAGGGGTTCCATACATCCCTATGTTACGTTAAGCAATTTAGTGTACAATTTACAAACTAATCCTTTTCCTCCTCTAGCATTTGTACTTAATTAATTTTCAGAATGTGTTAAGGGTCTCAAGAGCTCATTTTTTTTACATATTCTTTTATAATTAAACTATGACTTTTATTAAAATAAATACAGTTTGTGTTAAGATTAGATAAAATTCATTCAATCAATCAATCTCCTTTATTGGCATAGAAAAAGTGCATCGTATACATGGATCAGAACACAACACAGTTAACGAAACATAGTAGGAAATACTTTAGGATAAAACTGTCCAAAAAGGAAAAAAGGAAAATGGTTGTTTTAATTTTCTGTTTTTCTACTCTATTTTTATGCTGTGAACTGCCCTGAGATCTACGGATGAAGTGTGATATACAAAATTAATAAAATATAAAAATGTAACTCATCATCCACAGCCATTCCCAATGCTTGCTAGGATGGGAGGATTCCATTGTTGAATTAGCTAGGCAAGTTACGATCCAAGTATGGTCGTTAGTATAACAAAGGACACTTCTTTTCCTCCTTCTGGTTTATGTTTTTATTTAGATTCCTTTTTTTTCTTTGATGAAAAGATATTGGATATCTGATATTAATCTTTGTATATTTTCTTTCTAACCTTAATAAACTTTATTGGGAAAAGCGTAACAAAGAACATTGTAATGTTGGACACCCTTCCTCACCTGGCTAGTAGTAAGAAAGACAAAAGCCAGAGTGTGTGTGAGCTAGGCTGGAAGCAAGCAGAAGCCAGAGAATGAGAGCCATCCTTGATTGCTTCTGGAATCCAAAGCTGTGACTTTGGGAGAAGCAAGTCCTTCCAGGGGGTGGATGTTGTGAGCCCCTCCATCGTAGGCTCAGGTTGTACATATGTGTAAGTAAACCATATATCTTAAAGACAACATAGTCTCTGCTGTCCCTTATTCCAAGGAAAACAAACCCGTGGTACGTGCCTGGAACTGCAACAATATTTTAGCATTTCAAACATCTCCCATGCTGAATAGCAGTGACTTCAGCACCTGCACTGAATGAAGAGCTCAAGATTTATACTCAGTAGGGGCAGCTCCAGGGGATGGCAGTTGCTGTATCTCACCTTCTCCCAATGCATATGTTACTTATGAAAATGCTTTGAGACCATAATGGTTCAGGAAATATAGACTTTTATATTTTATATTACAGAAGGAATGTGTTTTGTTTATGGCTAGCTTGGCTTCCTTATTGCTTTTTAACTATGAAGTCCTGTGCTGCTTAGAAGCATGCATGCTCTTTCTCTTCACAGAAGGGACACAGCAAGCCCAGTCAGCTATTCTGGGAATCCGATCCTTATCCACAGGGTTTAGGATCCAGCAGATCACAAGTCTCAGCTCTTGTTCCCAAATGCCCTCTTTGGTTTTTTTTTTTTGCTGGTTAGTGCTGATGATAGCTTAGTGCTTGTTTGGGTAAAGCTAGGACCTCCACTGAAGAGAGCCTCTCCAACAATCAGCATTTAGGTGGATAGATTAGAATTGCAGCCTGAAAAAGACAACATTGAAATAAGATAATAGTAAAGGCACAAGCATTTAAACATGAGTAGAACACAACTATCAAAATTAATAGCACTTCAGTAACTTATGTGAGGGTTATGTTCCAAGGATCATGCCTAAAGTCAAAACCCATTGAGTTGTAGAGTCAAGATGCTGATGAAATTCTAATGAATATATTTTCTTTTTAAAAAAATAAATAAATAGCGAATTGCTGCAGAAATGTGGAGAGCTAACAAAACTGCAATCAATAGACCTGCCCGTCGCTACCTCGGAATCAGGCTACAAACCAAAACCCATATATGAAGGTAAGTTCCATTGAATTCAACAGGATTTACTCAGAGTAGATATGGCTTAAGTTTGCTGCTGTAGACACAGTACCATGAGAAAATATTTCAAATTTTGCCTAGGATGGCAGTCTTAATCTTATTAGCTGCTTTGGGAACAGCATTTGGGGTTGAAGGTGTGGGATACAAATCTGAGAAATGCGATAGTGTGGTTACTTCTGAGTAGACACTGATAAAACTATCAGAGCTGGCCCATCCATGAAGCAAAGTGAGGCAACTGCCTCAGGAGGCAGGATCCACAGAGGCAACAGATCCTGGGGTAGATCTCTATTCCCCCTTGTTCCTGGTATAGATCTAAACTCACCCCTTCTTCCTTGGAAGGGAGCCATTCTGTGGTTCGCCTCAGGCGTCAAAATTTCTTAGGTCCGGCCCTGGAGGCTGTGCTGTTAATTAGCCATTATGAAGTGTAGAGAAGTTACCACAACTTGATGTCGCTGTCAACAGCAGCAGTGTTCCAGATCTGCTACTCTTGAGAGTACCAGTGCCTGTCTTTAAATCTGATTTATTTATTCACCAAAAAACAGCTTTTAAAGCCATGGTTGGAAAGTGCCTCACAACTATTGCAAACTATGTTACAGCAACTTTTGTCACATTTTAGATCGTTTTGAGATGTAATGGCAATTCGGAATTTTGTAGTTCATTTCAGTTATGTGTGTATAATGAAAAAGTGAGGTCTTTTTAGCAAGCAAAACCTAACAGGCCGGTGTTTGCTGTTCTATGCTTGTGGTGACTTCAAATCTTGACCAGGGAAGCAGGAATCACTATTCTCTGCGTTTTGTCCCCTCAGGTGTTGTGTTTGTCTGAACGCTTGACACGCGGGCAGCGCCGCCTACTACCTCAGCTCCCGCCCGCTCCCGTTTTCCAGGTCTTTCTCCCGTCAGACAGAATCCCGGTGAATATCTCTTCAATCCCAAACGCCGCCGTTCCCCGAACCGGTCAGCCCTCCCTCCGTCCCTTGGCCAAGCTGGTTCATCAAGAGACTCGCCACGGACGCTCCTCCTCTCCGTTATCCCCCATACACGGCCGCCCTCCACTCTCCCGCCTTCCAAGCGGGGGCTGTTCCTTAGATCAGGCTCTACCCCCCCGGGGGGGAGATTGAGAGGCGGGGGCACAGAGACTGTCCCGGCCAGCGCTGATCTCGAGCTCCGATTGGCCGCTGTCTACGCTGACGTCACGATCATGATGAGAATTAATGATCGGAGGCGCTGATTTCATTGTGTGACGCCGGGACCGACCCAGCCGAAACCGGCTGAATTCGGAGCCCTGGGCCCCCCCGGACCAGCCCCGCCTGCCCCACAGAGCACGGTGGGTTCGGCGGCAGGGGATCGGGCGCAGGGAGGGGGGGAGGGGCGCGATCGGCGCGCGGACCCTGAGGGGGGGGGCCGAGTGAGGAAGATCGTGGGGAGGGGGAGAAGGGCGGCGGTGTGAGGACTTGACGGGCGGCCTCTTCGATGGCCTGTGGGGGCTGCGATCGAGGAAGACGCTGCCCCCTCCCCCGCGCTATCACTTCTTGGCTGAAGGCTTTGAGGTGAGGGGGGAGGAGCCGGGGAATCGAGATCGAGGGAGGGAAGGAAAGGAAGGGGGGGGGACACAAAAAAACTCCCGAGCCTCGGCTTCAACCTGGAGCTCGCGGACCATAACTCGGGGGCGCATGCGCACCTGAGCATTCGGTTGATCTGCGGCAGGAGACGCCAGCGTGATCAGCCCCCTTGCGCGAACTTGGAGGCGCTTACGCGCTGCGCGCGAGTATAAAACGAGGCGCTTGTGCGCATGCCCTTGGGCGGAGAGCGAGGCGGGGCTGAGAAGACGAAGTCGTGCCAGCGGTAGCCCAGGTTTTGGGAAAGCAGCGTCTTGGGCAGTGCTGTTTCTGCCACCAAAGGGCAGCACTGCTCAGCTTTTAGCACGCTGCTTGCTGTTGGGGTTTGCGGCGCACCTCGAGAATGTCTCGGATTTTTCAATCCAAAAAGGGGCGCGGGAAACGCGCCTCGAAAATTGATCGGATTTTAGAAACCATAGCGCCCGACGGAGTTTTCGATCCCAACAGCCCCAATCCTCCAATATTTGAAAATGTACGCATGCGTAGTGGCAGGTTTAGTTGCTAAAACTACGAGTTACAGAAGTTGCACAAGGAGTAGGCAGAGAAGCAAAGTTTGTGCAAGTTGTAGGGAAAAGGAATAGGCGTTTGTGCCTGCTTGGCTTGCCTATGCGTCTGCCGTGTAAAAAGTCGAACCTGGTGGTGGTGTATAATTGGTGGTGGTGTGCCTCCTGTAACGCTAGTCTAACTTTTTTGTTGGTAAGAATGCGAGTTTTCATCTTCATTAATATGTATATGTGTTTTGAAAATTGCAACTTATGGGGGAGAGTGCAGGACAATAGTTGCATTTGGCAGGTGTTGGCAATGAAGAAAAGAAAATGGGGAGTTGCTAATGGTTTGTCTGTGAACACAGTCAAGTGTTCTTATGTCATGTGTGTCTTCAGCTTTTCCCAAAGTAAATGTTCATGAAGGCAAATGTAATGTACAGTGGTACCTCGGGTTAAGAACTGAATTTGTTCTGGAGGTCCATTCTTAACCTGAAACTGTTCTTAACCTGAAGCACCACTTTAGCAAATGGGGCCTCCTGCTGCCGCCGTGCCGCTGCTGCACGATTTCTTTTCTCATCCTGAAGCAAAGTTCTTAACCCGAGGTACTATTTCTGGGTTAGCAGAGTCTGTAACCTGAAGCGGCTGTAACCTGAAGCGGCTTTAACCCGAGGTACCACTGTATTTGCTTCATAATGTGGTATACAGTGGTACCTCGGGTTACATACGCTTCAGGTTACAGACTCCGCTAACCCAGAAATAGTACCTCAGGTTAAGAACTTTGCTTTAGGTTGAGAACAGAAATCGTGCAGTGGCAGCGCAGCGGCAGCGGGAGACCCCATTAGCTAAAGTGGTGCTTCAGGTTAAGAACAGTTTCAGGTTAAGAACGGACCTCCAGAACGAATTAAGTACATAACCAGAGGTACCACTGTATAGTGATCTTTGTGGTGGTGAGGTGGTATTTTTGCAAAAAAGGTTATCAGTTGTGATATTGAGACAGGTGCATCTTAGGGCTGATGAGATAAATGCCTAGGAATCTTCTTCATGCAGTGTCTAAGGGAGCATATTGTTGCTTGTCAGGAAAAAACAAAATGTGCATGGTGGTGTGGTATGTTACGAGTATCTACATTTCATTCACCATCTGTGTTGGCTTTTGGTCTTCAGTGGCACCAGCATAGCAGTAATAGAAAGCACCCAGTTTTTTAAATTATTTATTTATCGTATTTATAGCTTACCTCTTTTTTTCCAGGAGAAAAAGCAATTTGGTTCCAGAAATTCATTCAGATAGTGCATATAAAATATAACTGATAGAAGTCTACAGGACGCGGCATTATTGTGCGACAACAGTCCAAATCCAGTGATCTCCAGATGGTGGAGATGTTAGATGTCTAGGCATTTTCACTTGGTTGCAAGGGGTCGAAAGCCAGGAGCAAAATGCCCCTGGCTAATTTTGAATACTGCTCACCACTCCTTTCATCCTCACAACAACCCTGCGAAGTAGGTTGGTTAGGATGACTGTCCCAAGGTCACCCAGTGAGCTTTATTACTGAGTGGGGATTTCAATCCTGGTCTCCCTAGTCCAACATTTAACCACCAGACTCTGTTTTTGTCCCATGGAAATTGCAAGTGGATATTCAGTTTCCCAGTTAAACCAGAACTTCAGATATGGAAGGACTTCTGTATGGCCATACCTGGTGTTAAGATGTGAAGGTTAAGAAAATCCCTCAGCACTGTTCATGCAAGGTCAGGTATTTTGTGTGATCATGCGTTTGGTATTCCTATTCTCAGTGCTGGATAAGAAGTACCAGAGTTAGTGTGTTTGATCAAACACATATATCTGCTGTAACATCACACAGTCTTTGTTGTTGTTGTTTAGTCGTTTAGTCGTGTCCGACTCTTTGTGACCCCATGGACCAGAGCACGCCAGGCACTCCTGTCTTCCACTGCCTCCCACAGTTTGGTCAAACTCATGTTGGTAGCTTCGAGAACACCGTCCAACCATCTCGTCCTCTGTACTTGTCTTTACCCATTTATAATGGCATTAAGTTTTGTGCACCAGATTTAATCTTGTCAGGTGCAGTAAGTAGTATCTGACATTCATATCCATATATCATTTTGATCATAGGTGACTAACCTCCAGACACTGAATTTCGACTCCCAATATTTATTAGTAAAAATAGCTACATGTAGCAATTTCATTAAAAATGCAAATATGTTGCACAACAAATATAAAAATTCTAGAAACCAAATCACAGATCACTAACCATAAGACTTCCCCTCCCTTTCTCTTTTATTGTCTACATAAGCCTAGTGATATAGAAAAAAAAATCAGTAAACTGATGGTGCCTACTGCATTCTACAAGACTGGGCTGATGACACTGAAAGCTTGTGTTGACATCAGATGAGTCTCACCTACTTGCAGTGCAACCATAGACACTCTTGGCAGATGATTTCAGTGGTCAAGTTGCAATTAATATAAGAGCCACAAACCTGGTAGCAGGTGGCAAGCAGTGCAGATGTTTTCATGATGTCATCTATTGTCAGCTATCTACCTTCATCAACATTCCAGCTGCCACATTCTGTACCAGCTAGAGCTTTTGGACCAAACCCAAGGGTAGCCCCACATAGAACGCAATGTAGTAATCCAGCCTGTGGGTTAACCATGCCTCTGGCTTAGCCATTCTGACTTGTGCTGATGAGAACTGTTGAGTCCAATAACACCTTGAGGTCCATAGGTCAGTCACCCCTTGATTCTAAGCTGTGTGCATTTAAAGAAAATGATGGTCTCTAAAGAATCCTGGGGACTATAGTGTTTGAATGGTGCTAGGTGTTCTAGTTGTGAGTGGTAAACTACAGTTCCCAGGATTATTTGGTCATGCACTTTAAATGTGTGTTGCGTTTTTAGGTGATTTAAGCAACCAGCTTTTCTGAAAAAGAAAAGCACACACTAATCTGAGGATCTGCAACATGCACATCTTTGCAAATGACAATGGTCCTTTTTCAGCAATAGTAGCCATACAAATAGCTATTGCTGATATCCTTCTTTGAGCCTCAGAATAATTTGTGGACTAGCATCCACTGATGAATTATATCTTGCATCACATATTAGAGAGATAAGCCAACTAGCATTCTTCTGGGGTCTTTATCAGCAAGGTGGTATTTTTTTGCTATTGATTTTTCCCTGCATTACTTTGTTCTCTGGCTGTAGTTGGAAGTCTCTTTAATGAGTGTCCACTTCATATGCAGTTATTGACTTTTCATTCAAAACTAGTACATTTCTCTATGGGGAAAAAATGGAGCCAACAAGTACTTCCAATGTCCAGGTTGATGGTACCAATGGATTGATAAAGGCTTCTAAAAAGGAACTTGCCATTCTTTTGGGCTTACAAGTATAGGTTTTGCTAACCCATTAATTGATAGAAAATGTACACGTTACCATGGAGGTAGCTACGAAGATGGCAGCAACCACTGCTCAAAGTTACGTGAGCTGTAGGCCTAAATACCATTGAAACAAATGAGATTTACTCTGGTGCATATTTGATTAGACTTTGTTTGCTGGTCCCTCTGCCTTTTCCAAGTCAACTGTTTTGGAGCTATGTCTAACCTTGTTATGAAACGTGTAGCACAATTGCTTTTAACTCATTTCTATAGCCAACATTACTCTTGCTATCAGGTTAAATCTAAGCTGTTGTGTATGTTGTTAAATCTAACATATAATGAAGTATTGTCTCAAGTTAGAATGCTGTGTCCATTTATTTGGAAATCAACCTTGTTGAAGGCCTTTAGTTCAGTGGTAGAGCACAGGATTCATCTGCAAGAGGTCCAAGGTTCAATCCCTGGCACCTGCATTTAAAAGGACCAGGTTGGACAGGTGTGGGGAACATTTGGTCCTACACATGTTGCTGAACGACTCCACCCATCTGACCAATCACCAGAGATGATGGGAGGAGTTGTTCAGTAGCATCTGGAAGGACAGAGGTTCCCCAGACCTGAAGTAGGAGGTGGTAAGAAACATCTCTGCCCAAAACTTTGGAGAGTTGTTGCAAGACAGAGTACACAATGCTAGGGATGATAGAATCCTGCTTCCTATATTTCTGTTTAGGAAAGTGAGTAGACCTGTTAAGAACGCTTTAGTTTTAGATCTATGCTTACTACGGGCTAGGAGCTGTTATAGTGTGTGTGAGGATACAGTTTATGGTTAAATATGTGGCAGTTTTTCCTCTTTGGTATTTAATTTTAATTTTTAATTTTTTTGCATTTGAGCCACATATAAATGGTTTGTGAGAAATAATAATTCACCTAGCAATCATTTTTAAAAAAATATTTATTAAATTTTCCATTTTAATAATCCAATAAAAACACATTAAAACATTCCAAATTACAATACAATAAAAAAGCCAAATATAAATGCCAAATTATGTATCTTTGGGTGTCTTCCCATGCTCTGAATTTCACGAAATGCTGATCATCTAAATATCACATAGCATTTCTTAGTTAGTCAATAAACCATTCCGATGTTAATCCTTCATTTAATTTTCATTTATTTTTGCAACCACTGGTCTGTTCAACTTTTGCCTTCGTAATTCTGGATGAAATATTTTCCCTGTTGTTATCCACACTTCAGCAATTTCAGTTTCAGTTTCTGCTCACAGGAGCCATAATATTCCACATCCCAAACCCTGGGCAGAAATCTGAAATTCCCCTCTGTAATCTCGCTCCATCTCCCAACATGCTGGTACCTCTGCAGAAACACATTAACTCCAGTCCGGAATTCTTTCCATCTTCCACTGAGGGTAGCTGCCAGAATCTTCACCCAGTCAGTATTACAGTGGAACCTCGGGTTGCGAAAGTGATCTGTGTGGGAGGCACATTCGCAACCCGCAGCACCGCGTCCACGCACGTGTGGATCACGATTTGGCGCTTCTGCGCATGCACGAGTGCCGAAACCCGGAAGTAACCCGTTCTGGTACTTCCGGGTTCGGCGCGGTGCGCAACCCGAAATCATATAACCTGAAGTATCTGTAACCCGAGGTACCACTGTATATTTAAACCACAACGGCAGCAAAATGCTCTTTCAGGCCCGCTTGCGTATTTCAAACAGTTGCCCTTCGGGGGAGGTTTACCAGGTAAAACTACAAGTACAAATTGAGTAGTCCCCCTGGGGCTATACAATTAATCCATCAGTTAATTCAACAAGCGGGTTAGTCCTTTGTGATGTTATTCTTGCTCCTCATCGACGCTACTTTCGTTTTCTGCTCACAGGGATAATTTTAACTGTGTCACAGTCCACCATTAATCCTGGGCAGATATCTAGAATTCTCCTCTTTGGTCTCCTGCTAACGAGATGGTGCCTCCCCACTAACTCAGTAACTCCAATCAGGAATTCCTTTCATCTTTCCCTTAATGGTCATTGCCAGAATCATAGTCAAAATTTCACAAAGTTTATTTCGCATGTAGCTTAGCGCCCACTCATATATTTCAAACAGTTGTCCTTTAGTTACGACGAAAGTCTTTCTCCACATCAAATCCTTCTCAGTGGCTGGTTAAATTAGCAAATTATTTTATCTCTGCTAGTTCAGAGCATGCCTGTTAAATAAGTCTGAATTTTTATCTTAAGAAACTGGTGTCCTCTGCTCATGGCGCCAGCTTTGAGGAGATGCCAAGATGTGCAGTGCATTGCACCCAGCGCCCCCTGCATTTCTTCAGGATGGGCAGCAGGTATCAGATGATCTGGGGGTGGCCTGCTCCTCCCAGCCCTGGTGGGGGGGCCTTTGGGAGGACAATTACTCCCATATTATCCTTGTCTGCACGAAAGGGCTGCACTGTTATGGGCACAGCCATTCACCATGGCAGCCAAACAGGAAGTCCAATAATTCACCTAGCAATCTTATTTCCTAACACATAGTAGCCTTCATATACTCCTATGTTTGAATAGATTAGCACTAGTAGAGCAGATGTGGTTGTTAAAGTAAATGTTCCATCCATGGAGCAGAAGGTTTGGGCAAAATTTCGTTTTTAGCTAAATATTCTTATATATCAATATATCACAATGTCTGAAATGGGAATGGAACTATGTAGAATGGAACTATGTAGAACGGAGCAATGTCCTGGCAACTGCTATTAATTAGGAGTCTAAAACTGGTAATTTTTTACTTACCTTTAACATACTGTTACAGTATAGATAATTTTTAAATTAGCATATTTTCTCTAAAATTAGAGGTGTAGAAGTACAGCAAGAAGCAGTTAGAAACTCAGGTATCTTTCATACAAGATACTCTTTCTATTTGAGTATCCATTTTAGACACTCTATTTTTTTTAAAATGATATTTATTAAGAGTTTAAAAATTACAGAAAAAAGAAAAAAATAACAATAAAAAAGAAAGAACAATAACAAAACATATAAAACATATAAAAGCAATACAGCAATACAGCAAAAAAGAAAAACAAAGAAGAAACTAAAACAAACATCCAATATTCCATATCTTTACCTTTCCTTTACTTGTTTCATCGACCTCCTCACACCTCCCTTTTTTTGTATTCTAGTTCCATTCACTATTTCAGCAAGTTCTTCCCATCTTTCTCAATTTTTGTTCTATAATTTATCTTAACGGTCTAACCTTGAATTTTTTCATTTTAACCCATTATCAATCAGCTTTTACTTAATTCTTTGTTGCGTTTCTACTAAAACCATGTAACTTCATTCCAGCATCCTTCTAACACCATTTTAGACACTCTATACAGGGCCCAGAACAGACTCTTCCTGCAGGAACTTCGCATGACTTAATCTGCTTTTCTTGAGCTGGATGATATACATTAATTTCAACAACCTTAATATGCTCCATGCTTTTTCAGAGCCATTATTTTTACTGTTTGGGTAACTCATTCTTGCATTTATATGACCATAAAATGTGATCTGTATATCAGTTCTACTTGTCCTGTAAGTTGTTATACAGTGGTACCTCTGGTTGCGAATGGGATCCGTTCCAGAGGCCCGTTTGCAACATGAAAAGAGTGCAACCCGCAGTGGCGCGTCTGCACACGGGTTGCGATTCGCCACTTCTGCACATGCTCATGACGTCATTTTGCGCTTCTGTGCATGAGCAAGTGGCGAAACCCGGAAGTAACCTTTTCTGGTACTTCCAGGTTGCCGTGGGACGTAACCTGAAATAAAGTAACATGAAGCGGACGTAACATGAGGTATGACTGTACAGGCTTTGTAATATATGCAGCACTTTAGTAGAAACTTTGGGTTTAGCTTTTTCTATGTTTGCTTAAATTTGCACAAAAATAATAGTTTCTGGGGAACCTCTTGTAGTTTTTCCTGCACTTTGTTAGATTTATGTGGGATTCCCAAGCAGTCACCCATCCAGATACTGTGCAGAACCAGAACTGCCCGGCTTCAGAAATGGCAAGTTTTTAGTCACTTTCAGGTGTTGGAAAGGGAAATCAAGATACCTCCACAGTGATACTTTATAACTAGGCAAGTCCATGTGACTGAAGAGAAGGCTGAAACATTTGAGAAGGGTCCTTATGCTTTTGTTCCTGGGCTCTGAGGGCAACATTTTTTGCCCTTCCACATACATAGATGTGTATAGAAGGACTGTAGCTCAGTGATAAAGCACCTGCTCTTCATGCAAAATGTCCCAGGTTCAATCCCTGGCATCTCCAGGTAGATCTAGAAAAGCACCCAGGTTCAATCCCTGGCATCTCCAGGTAGATCTAGAAAAGCACCCGCTGTCCAGAGTTGTTCCTGGTGTAGCATAATGTGGCTTTGTACATTCTCATATACTTACAAGTTCAATGATAGCAAGCCAGCTATATCATATCAGATAAGCTGTGGCTCTTTCATTGAAGTATATTACAGAGATCCCTTGCTGCAATGTCTGCAAGATGGAACAAATCTCCCCCCTGTTCCCAGTCTGTGCAATCAAGTATGCCTCAGATTGCAAGCAATTTCTTTTTTCCAATAGAACTCAGTGGAAACTATTAAGAACCAAGACCGCCTCAGCTTCATAGCCTTGTTTGGTGTCCCACTTCTTGGACATTCTTGAATGTGGCTGAGAGACAGAATCCATTCCTGAATGCCTACAAACATGATTCTATCAACAACCCTCCTAGTTATTTTAAAAATGTGGCAGTTCTCTTATTCTTGTATGTATTAATATTTTTGTATGATTAAGAAAACTGATAGCAGATAAACCAGAATATAATAGAGCTCAGTCCACTGTAGTTTTCTATTTGCTTGGATAAGTGAGCACCTGCTTTAAAAAACAATAATAATCTGCAAGTCTTAAATTATTCCAATTTTCATAGTATCTTCTTTTATTTTTAGATGAATCTGCGTTCTGTATTTACTGCAGAACAACAAAGGATATTGCAGCGTTATTATGAAAATGGAATGACAAATCAGAGTAAAAATTGCTTTCAGCTCATATTACAGTGTGCACAAGAAACTAAGCTGGACTTCAGTGTAGTCAGGGTAAGTACTCAGGTCTTCCATGCTAAAATTTGCATAACAGTTTATCAAATGCACTTGTTTTGCTTCTTTATCTGCAGGGGACATGGAGCTATTAAGAAACCAAAAAGCTCCTTTCCCCAATATAACTTGTGCTTTGTCCCCCCCGCCCCCATGACAGCTCGTTATAGTCTTGCCTGTTGTTTGAGATAGTGCTATGAAGTGCTTTCATCTTGTCCAAACAACTTAAGTCTCTTTAGCATCTGAAGTTAGGGCTTTTGTTGAAATTCTGGCTTTTGTAGATGTTTGAAAATTTTCTTTCATCTTTTTAACTTGGATGTTTGATTATTATTATTTCAAACAAGATTGTGTGAAGTATGTAAGGGACACTTCACACATTACATTGGGGTGCAGTTACATTGATGCTTTGTAGATTTATGCCTACAAATTAAGTGTAACAAATATGCCTTTGTAAGCACCTGTATCATACAGCTATGCTTGTCAGGAGATCATTATTGGCTACAGTTCCCTGTTGAGTGTATGCTTGGTGGCTTTGCCTCCTCCTTATGGGTGCCTTGGTAGAAAGATGGTATATAAATGCAGTAAATAAAAGAAATAAAGGCTCTGAAACAGTGTGAAATGAATCTGAAACAGTAGTTTAATTGCATTAGTTCGCACTACATTAGTAAAATGTTGTGGTTTAATTTAGTTTCTGCTAAAACGAGTGGGTGGGCAATTAAGTTCATTCTATGGTAAGACTACCCCCCCCCCCCTTTCTCAACTGATGAGGAAGACGCTGGGGATATTTTAGCCATTTTATGAAATTCTTGATCTGATTTGGATATTAGGAAGATTCCTGGTATATGTGTTGTGGCTCTTACAATTTGTGATAATCTTCTTTAAGAATTTCTTTTGAGTTGACCTCACTTGTTCTTATGAGTGGCGGGGTAAATGCTAAGTCCTTGTAGTTCTAGGTGAGGACAGTACCAGGAAAGTACCAGCTGCCTTGGAATATTTTTTTCAGCCATGTACATTGCAGTGCTTTGTTCAGGGGCCTTGCTTGGAACTATTATGTATCTATTATGCTGAAGAAATGATAGAATATACTCTGATAGCAGGACCAGCATGTTCTTCAGGCCCCAACTGTTCAATAGCAAAAGTTCGATTTTCAGAAATGGGTAGATGGAGATCTTTGCAGCATGGTTGTAAACATTAGGAGGTGGTGATGTGTGCACATCAAGCTGCTATTAAAGGTACAGTCACAGAGGACAGTTCAAAGGTTTACTTCTCAGTGTCCAGAAATATTAGAGTTCAGTATTGATCCTTCCTCCTCCTTGGAGAAGGAAAAGATAAAGAGACAGAAAGTTATGGTGGAAATGGCCTGGGTGGGGGGAGACGAATCTTGCACTCTGGTGGCTTGTTTATGGGCAAGGGCATGTGGTATATAAGCAACAGCTGGAAAATTGCAAGTGGTAGTTAATAGTAAAGGTAGAAGTCACTCATGTGTCTCATTCATTCACTTCTTTAGTGTTTGTACTGTGATACTCTGGACTGAATGAAATGAATTTGAGTTGGATCCTTTGCTGATGAACTCTTTTGTGTTTGCAGACCTGGGTTGGCAACAAAAGAAGGAAGATGAGCAGCAAGAATGTTGTGGATTCTGGAGGCACCCCATCAGGGACTGTTGCCAGCACATTGAACATACCTACAATGACGAATGTCCGAAGCCTAGCCAACCTTGCTTCCCCCCAAACCCAACAGGCATCTTGGACGTCCTCCAACAACGATGTCATGGTAACCGGTGTATACACCCCAGCCAGATCTTCTCACAGGCTGGTGTCCACTAAGCAGTCCAGTGCATCGGTGAGTGATCTGCATAAAAATTCTCTTCCAAGGCCACAAACAAAAAGTGAACCTGAGTTTCAGCGGCAGCAGATTGCAGTGGCGCAGCAAGCCCCCCACTGTAAAAATGCTTCTCTGTTCCTGGGAGAAAAGACTATTATCCTGTCAAGGCAAACAAGTGTGCTAAATTCAGCAAATTCTATTTATGACCATGCTAAGAAAAGCTATGGTGGTTCTTCAGTTCAGACTGCAGAGTTGGTTTTACCTCAGAAGCCCATGTTGTGCCACAGACCAAGCAAAGTGGAACAGATGGGATGTCAAAGGTTACCGAAACCAGAGCATCCGATCCTAGCCTCACATGTGCCATCTGGGCAAAGGGCCAGCATTAGAGATCCTTCCTGCAGCACACACAATGTGGAAATTCGAGAGGTTTTTTCCTTGGCTGTTACCGATCAACCTCAGAGAATCCTGGGAGGAAATACTCAGAAGCCATCGTCCTCTTCTTCTGCAGATGGCAGTTATTTGTCCATTGCCATGGAAACGGGGGATGTCGACGATGAGTATGCTAGAGAGGAAGAATTGGCATCAATGGGTGCCCAGATACAGAATAACCCCCGACTAAGGGGCACATCCCTCATGGTGGAGAACCCAGGCACAGGCCTACCAGGGTCGGGCAGAAGTGTTGGCTGCAGTTCACACTTGGTTAATTCCAGGGACTTGCACAACAGTACCCTGTATCATAACAGAGACTACCACTTGCCTCCACGTACCTCCTTGCATACTATGTCCAGCACACTATATAGCAGTTCTTATCCATCAAGAGGTAATCTGTCTTCTCATTCTGCAGCTTCCAATCAACGAAGGCTGTCTCAAAACCAAAATAATTACCAGGTAATTGGAGTTCCTCCTACGTTTTAATGCTTGTGCTTTGACATCGTCTTCTGTTTTGTTGATGTTGTTGTAAACCGGGAGTTCCAGCAAGTTCACTGTGCAGTGAATTACAGCTGCTTTATGCATTTCTTGCCAAGGAAACACCTTGAATCATTATGCATTCTATTCCATGATTTTGGACACCTTATCCTCTGCACCAATACATGAAGCTGCAGAGTCTTGCTGTATAGTGGAGCCATAGGTGTGACAGCCATAAGGTTCTTCTGCATGTGCGAATCACATCTGCCTTTTGTTTCCTTTTCATTGCTACTTTGGCCTAAAGCCTCTTTCCATGAATGGTAAAGGTAACTCCAGTGTGCCTTTGCTTGAGTCTGTCTCACCATTCCTGCTCTCTTCATTTGCCTTGAAAGAGGTATCATGCCTGGACTTTTCACACATTCAGTGTTCAAAACTCCCATTGTTCCATGTGCATTTTGTGACACAGAATTTCATTAGCACAAGCAGTTTCTGAGCTCTGGGTGCAGTACTGTGCTGAAGATTTCAGACTTCAGAGTGGAACAAAAGGGGGAGCTTTTTCTGCCTCCCCACTTCCAGCTACTCTCTGAAGAATATTAGGGGGGTGGGCAGGGAAAGGACTAGACCATGTGAAAAATGAACATAATGTTTTAGCTGCAGTTCATTCATTTTCAGCTTTGTATTCTTGTTATTAAAAAGATTGCCTAGACATTCTGTTGTTGCACCCATAACCTAGGGTTTCATACCTCAATTTCTAACACTGCTCATATTTACAGAGGCAGTGAAACATGACAGTCTTAGCTTTTTTGCTTTGGCACTTGCTGCAGTTGCCTAAGCCACAAGGATGCTGGTACCAGGCCTAGAGAGGTTCTGGTTAGACCTGCCCAGGATTTGTGACCAGTTACGTTAACCTGATCTCAGGAGGAGGAGGAGTTATGCTAAGACCAGACCATGTCATTACTGAGGAGGCAGGTTTAGTAGTTGGTTGAAGACTATCCCTGCCCCCGGGTCTGGTCTTGACCGGAAGGATACTGAAATTGACAAGGGAGACCCACATGACCTTAAGGTGCTGCTTGCAATGCCAAGTCAATGATTCACAAGATGGCTGTCATCCATGACTTGATCGTGGATGGAGGACTTGATCTGGCATGTGTAACAGAGACTTGGTTGGATGAAGCAGATGGGCCTGTCCTTGCCACTGCTTGTCCACCGGGCAACCCAGGTCAGCGATGGGGGTGAAGATGCTCCTTCAGGAATACCGTTGATGGCCTTCCAGCTGATGCCTTGGTGGCCCGCTGCAATGTGGAGTTAACCAGGGCTATTGACTGTCTGGCTCTGAAGCGCCCTCGCTGGTTGCATTGAGCTCAGACAGCCCCGTGGTTTTCCCCAGAGCAGAGGGCGATGAAATAATCGCTGAAACAGCTAGAGAGCCGGTGGCAGAAAACTCATTCTGAATCGGACCGGACACAGGTTAGAGCTCAGTGTTGAGCCTACCAAGTGGTAATAGCGACAGCAAAGAGGATATTCTTCACCGCCTCTATTGCATCTGCAGAAAACAGCAGCAGAGACTCTTTTCAGGTGGTTCACAATTAAACAGAACCACCTTTGCCATCGGGGCCTGGTAAGGACCCCAAGATCTCCTGCAAATTTTTTTTTTGCAGATAAAGTCGCTCAGATTCGGAAAGAGGTAAACTCCACCTTGGGAGCAGGGCCAGGGCAGGAGAGTGCTAGAGTCCTGTCTAGTCAAGTTGCATGGGATCAATTTCAATCTGTTACCTCCATGGATGTGGACAGGCTGCTTGGACAAGTGAAACCGACCACCTGTCTCCTTGATCCTTGCCCATCCTGGCTCATAAAAGCAAGCTGGGAAGGGCTGGGCAATGGTCTCTGTGGGGTGGTGAATGCTTCCCTCTGTGAGTGAGCCTTCCCAGACCTGCTGAAAGAATTGGTTATTAAAATATCTTTGGACCCAGCCAATATGGCCAACTATCACCCAATCTCAAATCTTCTATTCTTCAGCAAAGTGATTGAGCGGGTGGTTGCTGAACAGCTCCAGGCATGCCTGGAGAATGCGGACCATTTGGATCCTTTCTAGCCAGGATTCAGGCCACTTCATGAAACTGAATCTGCCTTGGTCACACTGGTTGATGATCTCCGGTAGGCTAGGGACAAAGGTGAAAGCTGTTTCCTGGTTCTGCTGGATCTCTCAGCGGCTTTTGATACCATCAATCACGACATCCTTCTGAATGTCTAGTGGGACTGGGGGCACTGGGGCACTGTTACACAGTGGTTCTGCTCCTTCCTCCTGGGCCGTGTCCAGAAAGTGGTGTTGGGGGATGAGTGTTCAGACCCCTGAGCTCTCACTTGTGGGGTGCTTCAGGATTCCGTCCTCTCCCTCATGCTTTTTAACATCTATATGAAGCCGCTGTGAGAGATCATCAGGGGGTTTGGGCTGGGTGTTCATCAGTATGCGGGTGATACCCAGCTCTACCTCTTTCAAATCAGAACCAGTGAAGGCGGTGAAGGTCCTGTGTGAGCACCCAGAGGTGGTTGGAGGATGGATGGCGGCTAACAGATTGAGGCTGAATCCTGACAAGACAGAAGTACTGTTTTGGGGGGACAAGAGGCAGGCAGGTGTGGAGGACTCCCTGGTCGTGAATGGGATAACTGTGCCCCTGAAGGACCAGGTACGCAGTCTGGAAGTCATTTTGGACTCACAGCTGTCCATGAAGGCACAGGTCAATTCTGTGTCCAGGGCAGCTGTCTACCAGCTCCATCTTGTACAAAGGCTGAGACCCTACCTGCCCGCACACTGTCTCACCAGAGTGGTACATGCTCTAGTTATCTCCTGCTTAGACTACAAGTGGTGCCTCGCAAGACGAAATTAATCCGTTCCGCGAGTGTCTTCGTCTAGCGGTTTTTTCGTCTTGCGAAGCAACCCTATTAGCGGATTAGTGCTATTAGCGGTTTAGCGGCTATTAAAGGCTTATCGGCTTAGCGGATTAGCTGCTAAAAGGCTATTAGCGGCTTAGCGGCTTAGAAAAAGGGGGGGAAAGCGAAAAAAAATCTCAAGACTCGCAAGACATTTTCGTCTTGCGAAGCAAGCCCATAGGGAAATTCGTCCTGCGAAGCAACTCAAAAACAGAAAACCCTTTCGTCTAGCGGGTTTTCCGTCTTGCGAGGCATTCGTCTTGCGGGGCACCACTGTACTGCAATGTGCTCTACATGGGGCTACCTTTGAAGGTGACTCAGAAACTACAATTAATCCAGAATGTGGCAGCTAGACTTTTGACTGGGAGTGGCTGCCGAGACCATATAACTCGGGTCCTGAAAGACCTACATTGGCTCCCAGTACATTTCCGAGCCAAATTCAAAGTGTTAGTGCTTTAAAGCCCTAAATGGCCTCGGCCCAGTATACCTGAAGGAGCATCCCCACCCCCATCGTCAGCCCAGACACTGAGGTCCAGATCCAAGGGCCTTCTGGCGGTTCCCTCACTGTGAGAAGTGAGGTCATAGGAAACCAGGCACAGGGCCTTCTTGGTAGTGGTGCCCGCCCTGTGAAATGCCCTCCCATCATATATCAGAGAAATAAACAACTACTGTATCAGACTGTTAGAAGACATCTGAAGGCAGCCCTGTTTAGGGAAGTTTTTTATGTTTGATGTTTTATCATGTTTTTAATATTATGTTGGGAGCCAGAGTGGCTGGGGAAACACAGCCAGATGGGCAGGGTATAAATAAATTATTATTCTTATTATTTATTTATTTAGTAGTGAATGGTAAAATGACCCTTTTATAGTGAAAGAGTGAAATTCTATGGCTAGATTAGCAGTTCAAAAAATATTGTTTCCAAATTTCTTTATTAATGTGGAGAGTAAATTGTACATGGATTTGGCTCTAAAAAAGTTGGCTTTTAAAACATACATTTACCATCCTATTGCACTATATTTGGAGTGGATGTGGAGATACTTACCTCATATTATGGGCGGATAGTCACTTTTTATTCTGCTACTGATTCACCTTTTAAATTCTGCTGCCAGATATCGATACTACATAGTTACCAACGCTTTTAACTACCGTATTTTTCGCTCTATAAGACGCACCTTTTCCCTTCTAAAAAGTAAGGGAAAATGTGTGTGCGTCTTATGGAGCGAATGCAGGCTGCGCGGCTAAGCCCAAAGCCAGAACAGGGAGACGGAGCGCTGCACAGCGCTCCGTCTCGCTGTTGTAGCTTCTGGCTTAGCTGCGCAAAGCCTCCGCATGGCAGCGGGATGAAAGCACCCCGTTGCTCTGCAGAGGCTTCAAAGGCTGTCCCCGAAGCCAGAACAGCAAGAGGCAATCCCAGAAGCCAGATCCCTCTTGCTGTTCTGGCTTCTGGGGTTCAGAATTTTTTTCTTCTTGTTTCCTCCCCCCCAGACTAGTTGCGCCTTATCGTCCGGTGCGTCCTATAGAGCGAAAAATACGGTATATTCTGGTAATGGCGGTAATTTAGGTATGGTACAAAACTAGCTAGAGACATTTTAGAATTAAATAAAAGTAATTATTTATTATAAAGTATAAATGTGAAATAAATACTATACAGTTCTTCCAATTTGCTACTGTGTCTTTAAGACCTACTTATATTTGCTGTCATAGGGTATCTTTCAATGACAGTTACAGAGGTTTACATAAGCCTGGCTGCTAAAACTTTATTCCTAACCTTATTTAACTTGAAAGCCAATAACACTTAGTCCCTTTCCCATAGTCAGTTGCACCACCAGGTGCTGTAGACTTCAGCTGGTTTTCTTTGAGTGAGGCTTGCAGGTAGTTCTCACTTTGGTCCAACTCAGAAGCTCCTGAAGGGATTCTCCTCACTGCTTTAATGCCTTTACATGACCTCACTGCCAATATTTGGCTTAATCCAGTGATTCAGTTTTTTGGGGGGCAGGCTGTGTACGAAGCTTTCCTTTAGGCTCAATAGCCTCTTGCCCATCTTCTGCTTCTGCTTCTCCTTCAGCTGCCTACTCCAGCCTTCTCCCTCAGCTTCTCTTCCTCAGTCTCTGTCTTCCTCTTCTTTGTCTCTCTCCCTCTGTCTCCCTCTCTCTGGTCAGCAGTTTCCCTCAGTCAGTAGTAAAATAGGCCTATTTATGTTCTAGGTGGCTTGTCCTTCAAACCAGTCAAATTTTAGTGGCATAGTATTCTCTCCCTCCCCTCATCAGAACACTTTCCCCATCCATTGAGTGACCAAAACTCTATTCTAGTAAACACGTTTTCGAGGGTGATTTATCCATAGTGTTTGTACTATGAAAAAAACTAGTTTCTGATTTTTTAACTTGGAGATTGTGTTCAATATATGCAAGCCTTTAGTGTGCAATGTTTCTGTTTGGGAAGGGCCCCCAATCTGGATCCAGGACCATGGTGAATGGATTCTTTCCTTGTGCACTACGTTTGTATCAAATTTCCATTCCTTACAAAGCTTCCATTAAGAAATCAGTGGAAGCTTTCTCATGGGGCTAAAAACCGCCTTTGGGTGGGTTTTCTGTGAGATCACACAAAATGTGGGGAAACAGCTCCACCCCCGACTTAGATCTCATATTTGAAGAGCATAGATTATGGGCTATTGGACTAGCATTTATCAGTTACAGAAACAACTGTCTTAATGTTTTTGGTTTTATTTTGTTTGTTTAAAAAAAAACACTAAGCAAAAATGCTTTCTATTTAGATGATACAGGTGAGTGTTGTGGTTATCTCCTGCCATTCCAAATCCTGCTTGTTAATTTGCATTTCACAGTAGAGTTTAGATTTCTTTGGGTAATAAAAGAATAAAAACCTGTGGGGTATGTTTCATGGAAAAGGTTGATAGGCTAATTACGGGTTATTTTTCCAGTTTGAAAACCAGAACAATTGTGATCTTTTGCTTGATTATGAAAAGCCATTGACTGGGGACAGAGCTCATTTTATCTTGGCAATTTCAATGTAACAAAATCTGATTATAGAGGAACAAATTGCTAATGGCTTTCACTGCATGCAAATTTTTGCCAGCAGAAATAGTATTGCATTATGTTCAGCAATGTGATACTTCTAGATATTGAAATGTACTTTTCCTTTGGGATGAAATGTTTGTCTTGAGATGTAGTACTTTTGATATTTTAAAATACTTTAAAATAGTGTGTTCTTAATAGAAATTCTATTAGTATTTTTTAATAGAGTACACTTGAAAAATAGTCATTCACTTTCAGAAGCAAACCTTGCTCCTATAGCGTGGCATGCATAGAAAACACTGGTAGTGTGCAGGGCTACAGCCGTGTCACATCAAAGTAGCCTTGGCTTGGAAGCTTCCAAACTGTTTGCTGTGCTAGGAATGGGACAAGCCACAGCAGACTCTCTCGGTGATAATGATGATGGTGATGATAATAAATTATTTATACCTTGCCCATCTGGCTGGGTTTCCCCAGCCACTCTGGGCAGCTTCCAACAAAAGATTAAAAATACATTAAAACATCAGTCATTAAAAACTTTCCTAAACAGGGTTGCCTTCAGATGTCTTTTAGAAGTCAGATAGTTGTTTATTTCTTTGACATCTGATGGAAGGGCGTTCCACAGGGTGGGTGCCACTACCAAGAAGGCCCTCTATCTGGTTCCCTGTAACTTCGCTTCTCGCAGGAATGGAACCGCCAGAAGGCCCTTGGAGCTGGACCTCTTTGTCTGGGCTGAATGATGTGGGTGGAGATGCTCCTTCAGGTATACTGGGCCGAGGCTTGTGCCCAACCATGTACAAGCTACTAGGCTATAAAAGAACTTTACCAGACACCTGTCCACATCTGTCTGCTACAGAGTGTCTTTAATAGGAGGCCTGGCAAATTATGTGTCCAGCTTCCTAAAAAGGAATAATTGTTCACTTTTGATGAGTAGTTAACTTCACAGCTGCTTAGGTTGATAAGACAGATCCTGCCAGATCAGATCAACAGTAAAACAGCCAGCGGGTTTCCGGCCTGATGTCATGGTCATTGTGGTCGAGCTCTTCTGCCCTCCAGGGCAGTGGAGCTGTCCGAGCAGGGGAAAGCAATAATTTATGAGGAAAAATTCCTGGCAAAGCTCCTCAGGGGATTCTGGGGAGTGCACGTTATCCCGAGGTGTCGCTTAAGCCTGTATCTGCCAGCTTGAAAGGCAGAACGGGTGCGATCTGGGAAGTGTGTCCCTGCCATGAACGAACCTCCATCTTTGGCATGATCTGTAATCAGTTCCTCAAGAATTTTGAATATTGGCTTTACTTAAGGGGCACTCCCCTGCAAAAGGAAAGAATCGTGTGTAGTTGTTATGATGTTATTTTGTCTGAGGAATACTGAGGATACTGAGGAAAAGAAAGGGGACACTGATTTATGCTCAACAAAGGGTTTTTACAATGTTTTTCTATACCCTTCCCTCCTGACCAAGGTAAAAGTAAAGGGACCCCTGACCATTAGGTCCAGTCGTGGCCGACTCTCGGGTTGCGGCGCTCATCTCGTTTATTGGCCGAGGGAGCCGGCGTACAGCTTCCGGGTCATGTGGCCAGCATGACTAAGCTGCTTCTGGTGAACCAGAGCAGCACACGGAAACGCCGTTTGCCTTCCCACCGGTGCGGTACCTATTTATCTACTTGCACATTGACGTGCTTTCGAACTGCTAGGTTGGCAGGAGCAGGGACCGAACAACGGGAGCTCACCCCGTGGCGGGGATTCGAACCGCTGACCTTCTAATCGGCAAATCCTAGGCTCTCTGATTTAACCCACAGCGCCACCCGCGTCCTATGTTCCTGACCAATGTAATGGACCCTATTTAAATTAGCTTTGGACTGAACCAGGAGTGGAGGAGAGAGTAATTTGGCAAGACAAAGGGCAGGTAATTACATCTGACAGGACTTTATGTATGTGACTTTATTCTTTAACTGGCGGGCTCAGGAAAATAATCCCCAGAGTTTTAATGGCGGAGCAGGCATCTTGTCGGGGCGTTATTTATAGCTCTGTAAGGCCTTGAACAACGGAAGGAATGTTTTCAAAGGAGTGGAATGTGAATGGACAAAGGACGATGGCATAAATTATCACTGCACACCAGGTCTGGGAACAGAGTTCTGGAAGAACTACACATGTGAAGTGGACTTTTATCTGTTTGAGAAACAACCGAGGTTGCATATTATGAACAACCTCCATCTGAGGATCTTGTTTCCAATCTAAGTGTGAAGATTTTATTGGATAGCCTTCTCCAGGTCAGCTGAAACAGAGATTCTCATTCAGGTGCCTAGCTGGGTGATTCAGACTACAGATGACATTTGGACTCATTGTAGGGGAACATGGACTTAAGGACGATGGCACCCAGATTAATGTGAGAGTAGTTGGTTTGTTTGGGCTTAATATCACCAGGATGGACTTCAAGACACTGCTGGCAACATAAGATAGTCAAGACAACACAAGAGCCAAGCTCAGTATTGGAGATGGAAAAATCTCTGACTCCTGAGGCCCACCTGCTCCCACACTTGACATCTTATAATGTCTGGGGGAGAGTGGGTAGAGCTACAGCTTTAGAATGTGCTCCCAGTTGTTCCTCTGCATGTGTGGCTTGTATTTGGTGCCTTTTAAATTTGGCACCAAATGCAAATCCATGACTAGAAAGGAAGATGATGATTCACCCTTTAAAGTTGAATCCCTTGACTCCAGGTGACTGGCTGGGGGGGCAGGTATGGACCAGTTCCAGATGCAGTCCACTGACCAGGTACAGTTTCCCTGGTCTGTGACAACAGTTGTGTATCTTCCCAAATCCATTTTGAATAATATTCTTTTTCTTTCCTCAGATTTCAGGAAATCTTCCTGCACCTTGGACTATGGGGAGTTCACGAAAAAGAGCTGTAAGTACTTCTCACTGAAGCAGTAAGTGAACAAAGTGCAGACTTAGATTAGGTATTTTAGGCTTAGAACTTTTAAACTAATACGAGTAGGGTTTTAAATAAAGTTTGTCTTGAAACGAAATCTTTCCTCCCCACCCACAGCCCCCTTCCTGCTTCCTCAGCATCTCCTGTCAAAGTGCAGAGATGACATTGTTAGATATGTGTAACCCACAGTCAGAAGAATGCACTGTCTTTCCAAGCAACTTTGCATATTCACATTGCCTTTGCCATTGATAGTAATTCTGATTTATGTTACACTTAACTTGCAACCTTGTAAAATGCTCGAAGCATCTCTGTCAACACTGACAGTAGTGAATGAGAAAGGGTGAAGATTATCATCTGCATTCATGGAGATCCTAAAAGTCTCCCCATTGACAGTAATGTTTCCTATATTTTATTAATAGCTAGCAGTATCAACACGGATTTCTCACTGTTGGCTTAAATAATGACAAAAGCAATAAAACTTCAAAATTAAACCTGCTGTTAGGAATCCTCCTTTTGTAAGATGGACTGCAATGTATTTCCAGTTGTCAAATAATTCTAGTGATGGATTGGTGTCACTAAAATCAACTGGGAAAGCTCAGTGGAGTGAAAAATAGCATGGCATAGCCCTTTGGAAATGCAGAATAAGACTTAAAAGGAGATGGGCATTGCTAATGGCAAGAGTAACAAAGACGTCTCTAATGGATGGCTCTCAAAGTAAAACCTTCATATTTAGAATTTATAGTCCATTTCAACTAACTATTGAAAGCTCTCCTCTTACATTCTGTGTGCCTCTAAATAGTTTTGCCTTCTCCTTTTCTGTCTCATTTAATTAATTTAGAGAGAATGAAACCCAGGCTGTCTGGCACATAGCGAAAGGAAAATGCAATGACAGAGAACTATAAATCTTTCAGTTCAGCAATAACTCTAAATCTACCATGGAAAAACAACAGTGCACAGACTCTGCTTTTAGTGTTGTTGGTTAACTATCTAACTATTAATTTGTGGTGGCATTGAATAGCCTCAATCTCCGCAATTGAATATGCTTTTAAAGCAATTTTAAACCTGTTTGTAGATGATGTAGTCTTAACAAATGACACAATTTCTAGACTTTCATATAATCTCTCTATTTGCACAAGGAAATTGTATTCAAATGAGATTTGCTAAAAGGGTAAAGTATGTTATAAGTGTCTCCAGTTGTGCTAGGACAACAAAATAGCTCCATTGGTTTTGTGACCTAGGACAATCTTGAATGCCATTCTTAAATGAGCTGCAGATAAATTTTGACCCAAAGCCGAAGAAGTGTGCATGCACACGAAAGCTCATACCAATAACAAACTTATTTGGTCTCTAAGGTGCTACTGGAAGTATTTTTTAAATTTTGTTTCAACACTGTATAAGAGATTCATCTTCTTGATACTTTCAGCATCACATTCCCCCAAATATCAACGACAGCTAGGAAAGGGGCAAATACCTCTAGTACAGCTAAATTATATGTGTGTTGAATGTGTTGGAGCATGTACTGACCCACCTTGTTCTCATCTGTGCTGTCATAATGTTTCTTTCAGCTGAGCTTCTTTTCCATTTCCCATTGACTCTTTGTGGGAGTGGGGCAGTGCAATCCTATTTTTCAGAACATAAGAATCCTCCTGAATTAGATGAAGAGCTCGTCTGTTCCAGCATCTTGTTTCTAACAAAGACCAACTAAATGATTTTGGGAAGTTTGCAGGAGATCTGGAAAACCTTCTGTTGTTTCCCCCAGGATATAACACCCAAGTATTTAGTATCCTGGAATTTATTGCTTCTAAAGAGTTACATTTTATCATCTAGGGCCTTATCCATAAGTTACTGCTTTCCTGACTCTCATTTGAAATCATCTATGTAAATCTCTCAAAGTTTGTTAGTTTGAATACACAGTATATTAATTTTGTTAAATCAATAAATTTCAGCAAAACCCTCACATACTGGTAGAGCATACACAGACACTTACAGGCCCCTCTAAAGACAACTATTACCAAGAGGATTCAGTCCACTTCTTAATGTAATCTTGGAAGGAGAATGTGTAGTATGCTAGCCCTGGAAAATAAATTCTAATCCCATGGAAGCACCCTTGTATGTGCCACTGTGCATGTGTAGGATCTCATACAGTGGTACTTTGGGTTACAGATGCTTCAGGTTACAGGCTCCACTAACCCAGAAATAATACCTTGGGTTAAGAACTTTGCTTCAGGATGAGAACAGAAATCGCACGGTGGCGGCACTGTGGCAGCGGGAGGCTCCATTAGTTAAAGTGGTACCTCAGGTTAAGAACAGTTGCAGGTTAAGAACGGACCTCCAGAAACAATTAAGTTCTTAACCCGAGGTTCCACTGTATTTGGTTTGTTTGATAGGTTATTATTGCAGTTGTACCTCAGGTTAAGTACTTAATTCGTTCCGGAGGTCCGTGCTTAACCTGAAACTGAAACTGTTCTTAACTGAAGCACCACTTTAGCTAATAGGGCCTCCTGCTGCCGCCACGCCGCCAGAGCACAATTTCTGTTCTCATCCTGAAGCAAAGTTCTTAACCCGAGGTACTATTTCTGGGTTAGCAGAGTCTGTAACCTGAAGTGTCTGTAACCTGAAGCGTATGTAACCCGAGGTACCACTGTACTTTTGTTTTAATGCATTTTTAAAATTTATACTTGATGCTCTTCAAATTTTGTAAACTGCTTATGTGCAAAGGGATTAATAAATTGAGTAAGTGCACAAAAATAGTTCCTGGATGGGGAAGCTTTCTGGGTTAGTGGTTCCCAACCCCTGCTTTTGATATGGTGCCTTACTATAGATCAGAGAATCTAAAAATTGAAGCTTTTCTTATATATAGTCAGGCACAGTCTTTAAGCATTTGCAGTTGTGCTAGATGCTGTCCCAGGGGTTTCAGTCTTTGTATAATTGAGGCAGGAACCCCAGAGAGGTGTGAGGTTGCCTACTCTGGAAAAACTGCTCAGGAATCTTCACCTTAACTCCTTTCTTGGTGGAATGCCACAGGCATGAAAGCAGTTTTGGGATTTTAGCTGTTCAAGTGAACATGGTCTTAATTAGCTGAAGAATGTAATGCCAGATAGTTAAAAGAAAGGATAATTTTAAGGCCAATAGGTATCTCAAGGCATTGATAAGCACCTCTTTATCCCATACCTCTGTTTTCTCCTAGTTGCGATGCAAGTGAACTTAGGTTAAAGAATCTTTAAAGGGACCCCTGACCATTAGGTCTAGTCGTGACCGACTGGGGTTGCGGCGCTCATCTCGCTTTATTGGCCAAGGGAGCCAGTGTACAGCTTCCGGGTAATGTGGCCAGCATGACTAAGCCGCTTCTGGCGAACCAGAGCAGCACACGGGAACGCCGTTTACCTTCCTGCCAGAGCGGTACCTATTTATCTACTTGCACTTTGACGTGCTTTCGAACTGCTAGGTTGGCAGGAGCAGGGACCAAGCAACGGGAGCTCACCCCATCGCGGGGATTTGAACCGCCGACCTTCTGATTGGCAAGTCCTCGGCTCTGTGGTTTAACCCACAGTGCCACCCGCGTCCCAAAGAATCTTTAGCTTTGGTTAAAGAATTGTGAGCGTTACCTTCAGCACAACATTGCCCATGCTGTGGCATAAGAGATATTTTTGCATGGTGGTTAGAAGGGGTATTTATTATTTATTTCAGATATTTATATGCTGCTTAGTATTCAGGGTATGGGGACAGGGAAAGGAAGCCCTTCAAAAGAGTCAGTGCTGTTTGCAGGCCATCCCTTACCCAATGTTGAAAAGAAACAAATGTTGACCTTCACACATGAGAAACCATATGTAATCTTGAGCATGACAGAGAGGCAGCCTCTACTTAGCCACAAGGGCTGCTTTTTATAGTGTATTAATTGAGGTTCTTTGCCAGAAAACCGTCTGACAACCTGTCCTTCAGAATCTGTATAACATGACTGATGAATTTAAGGCCAGGCAAGATGTGAATGATTTAGCAGACAGTGGTGCTTTAAAGGGCAAAGTGAAATCTTCAGTCAAAGAGCTTGTTTACATGGATTTATTTTTTTAGCCACCTGCTTCCTAATTCTTGGTTAGTGACAATCACCATGTCACTTAAAAAATCCCTTTGCTTAGCGAGGTGCCCTGCTGGCTGTCCTCCAGTTTTGGAGTCTTCTTCCTTCTCAAGTTTGCCAAAGTCCAGCCCTGAGCCACTTGGGTGGCTTCTTATTTGGGGCTGGTGTTTAGTGACCAGAGATTAATGCCGCTGCCCCCGCAAAGTTCATTTTTTAATAGTACATTTTATATCCAGATTGGGGAACCTGTAACCCTTTAGGTAGACTCCAATTCCAATCAGCCCCAGCTGACATGTCCAGTAGTTAGGGATGATGGGAGTTGTAGTCCAGCAACATATGGAGGGCCACAGGCTCCTCACCCCTGTTTTATATTGTGCAAGTTGGCTTTGCAGCCAATAACCAATGGAGTTATTATGGTTCCCCCTCAACTTGCATGGTGAGGAGGAGAGCCATGCTTTTCCAGATAAATGCAGCCATATTTATCCCCCACAAGTGACCAGGCATGTGCTTTATCACCAGCCTAAACTACATGGTAACTTCTCATTTCATTCAAAGGTTAGGAGTTAGGAACTGGGCTTTAATTTTTGACTTTGCAACACCATGTGGAACACCTTCATTTTCAATTGTTGTCTCCTTTCTAGTACTTAAAACAATAAAGTGTGTGCTTGATTTACAGCTACAAGACCGTACACAATTCAGTGACCGGGATTTAGCTACCCTTAAGAGATACTGGGACAGGGGCATGACGAGCCTTGGTGCAATTTGCAGAGAGAAAATTGAAGCAGTCGCTGCGGAGTTAAATGTTGACTGTGAAATAGTACGGGTAAGAACCTCCAGTCCTCCCGTTTCTGGTTGCAGAAAATAGCCTAGATGAAAGCTTTTTTAAAAAATTACATGAGGTAGACTGAAATAGACTGCACGTGTTACATAATGAATGGCCACGTTAGGAAGTGCTCTCTTGCTCTGTTTCCTGTCTATTTATAGTTAAAATCCCTCAGGTGAGACTTTTATCAATTGGCAGCACGAGCTGCATGTTTGACAGTCCAGTTGGACTGGGATTTTAAAACAAGCAAAGGCTTTCTGCGGAACTGAAAAGGAATAACTTGTGCAGTTAGTCAAAATATAAAAGCTCCTTGTGAAGGAGAAGGGAGCTAAGTTTTATTTTTATTTTTTGCAAGGGAGCAATACAGTTCTGTGTTGGGAGCTGAGTATGTTATGTTATATTATGTTATTTTGCTAAGGGAGCAACACAGTTCTGTGTTGGGAGTAATCCTTTGCATGTTTCTGGTCCTATGTTCATTGTCACTCACCTTGGGAGTTGTGAAAGACCTCTGCTTGGTACCCTGACTGGTCCAACAGTGAGCTTAATGGCTGAGTAGAAATCAGAATCAAAATCTTCCCCAGTTCTACTTCAACACCCTAACCACTTTAACTTCTTGTCTCACAGTGATGATGATGATGATGATACTCACCATTATCTTTAAAATAACAAATTGGTGAAAATTACCTAAAGCAGATAGAAGCATTTCCCCTGAAATATATATGTTTGCATATATATTTCCAAACAACATTAATATTCAGGAATTTATGTATTCTGTGTCCTTTCTCTGCCCACCCCGTCTTCCCCGAAAACTAAAGCAGGAAACCCCAGATTTTGTTCCCAAAATTAAGTATTCAGAGCAGGTAAACGTGTTTTGCAGTGTTTCGTTCTGCGTTGTTGAAATTTCAAAAGAGGGAAAATACTTTGAGAAATATTAGCATATCCTAAAGGTGTGTAGGGAGGAGCATACAGTGGTACCTCAAGTTACATACGCTTCAGGTTACATATGCTTCAGGTTACAGACTCCGCTAACCCAGAAATAGTTCCTCGGGTTAAGAACTTTGCTTCAGGATGAGAACAGAAATCGTGCTCCGGCGGCGCGGCGGCAGCAGGAGGCGCCATTAGCTAAAGTGGTGCTTCAGGTTAAGAACAGCTTCAGGTTGAGAACGGACCTCCGGAACGAATTAAGTACTTCACCCAAGGTACCACTGTATTAGGTAACAGCCTGGTCTAACTCAGTGAAGTAGAGATAACTGATATCCAGGCCTACTTAGCCCACTGCACTCAGTGGGACTTATATGTCAGTGTTTATTTTAGAAATTTCTGCCCTTCTTTCCTTCCACTAGGGGAACTCAGAGCACACAAGAGGATGGAGATACAGGCAAGCAACGTTTTAGGCGCAACAGATATGTGCGCAATTGCGCACACACGCACAGTGCCGAACCTGGAAGTGACCTGGAAACATAAGACGTCACTAAAAGGGCGGAACAGGAGTGGGGTAGGGGCAGGTTGTGGGCTGAATGAGGTGAGAGCGGGATGGAATGGGGTGTTTCAATTGCACACGATTTCATGCAAGTGCACAGTGACCCAGAACCCAGAATGCCTGTACATGTAATCCATGCAATATCAAGCAGCATGATAAAGTGTTACAAGAAAATCAGCAGGCAGAACAGATGTTCAGTAGCTTCTCTCTAAAGGCCTGTAAAGAGCCAGGTTTTCACCAGGTGCCAGAAGGCATGGAGTGACAGCCTCCATAGGGCAGGCAGTGCCACAACTGAAAATGTGTTGCTCCTCTTTCTCAACTGATGAACCTCAGTTGGAGGAGAGACGTGAAGTAGGACCTCAGATGTTGAACCAAGTATAGGAGAGGCACCTGTGGGTGAAGGTGGTTCTTAGGATACTTTAAATTGTGTAACTTCAATGTAATTGGTTTACAGGTGGCTAGATGTGGAAAAAAAAGAGTGGTAGATAGTGTTGAAATTCGATCTCCTGACCACTGGGAAACTTAGTTTCTCTTTGGTTAGTGATTCCTTATGCAGAACTATTAACGCCAAATTTGCCTGTCTTCTGAACCTCCAAAAATGATAGCAAAGACCCACACACCCCTTAATCAGTGATTATGTTTCAGCTAGCGGTTTGCATGTGTGAAACAACTGACGCAGGTCAAACACTGCAAAAGTGATTTTTGGTCTTGTAACACTTGCAGTCTCTACAGTGAGTTGGAAGTTGTCGAATCAGCACTTTGGAAAATGCTGCAGATTCTAGGTACTAACCAATGTTCTAATGATTAGCAAGAAGATGGTGCCTAGCTGGGAATAGTGGTTAACAGAAATTGAGGACAGAAAATTTGCAAAGGCAAAGGTGGTAGCTCCTGGCCTGTGAACCTAGTTAGACTCACCTTCTGGCTTATGAGGCCATTTCAGCTAAGGTTCACCTGCCTACCATGTGGGTGTGGGGCAAATAAAGATACGTTGGCTTGGGGTGGTGTGGGAGACATAAGGATCTGGCCCATTTAACCATTAAGAAACTTTTCAGGGAAAAATAAATTGCTGTTCTGCTACAAAGTTGATTATGTTGCCAGAGCAGCAGTTGTCAAAAGATGTTGTCTGCTGACCACTTTAACTGGTGTCCTTACAGGGCAAGGTGTAGGGGGTCCTTGGCAAAGTGTCTGGCTGGCAGACTTAGCTGCTAATGCCTGGCAGCAGCATACCAGGCAATGCTGGGTGGCTCCTGCTGATATCTGGGAGCTGCTGCTGTTAATTCCCCGCAGTATTTCAAAGTGACATTATGCTAAACTTCAGACCTTCACTGTAAAGCACCCAGTATTTTTCAGGAAAGGGTAGAAAGAGCATGCATCAGTGGTAGGGCCTACCAGGGACTGGCATCTCAGCAGCTAACATATAATAGAATCATAGGATTGTAGAGTTGGAATGGATCCTGAAGGTCATCTAGTCCAAGCCCCTGCAATGCAGGAATCTCAACTAGATCATACATGACAGATGGACATCCAACTTTTGCCTAAACACATCAAAGGAAATACAGTCCACCACTTCTTGTGGAAGTCTGTTCTACTGTCTTAACAGCTCTTACTGCCAGAAAGTTCTTCCTGATGTTTACCTGGGATCTCCTCTTTCATAACTTGAAGCTAGTGGTTCAGGTCTTACCCTCCAAAGCAAAAGAAAACAAGCTGGCTCCATCTTCTATGCAGGAGTCCTTGAGATATTATAGGATGGCTATCATGTCTCCTCTTGGTCTCCTCTTTACCAGGCTAAACGCATGCAGTCCTCTCAATCGTTCCTCATAAGGTTTAGTTTCCAGACCCTTGATCATCTTGGTTGCCCTCCTCTGCACACATTCCCTCTTGTCAATATCCTTCTTAAATTGTGGTGCTCAAGACTGGACACAGGACTCCAGATGTGATCTGGACACTATACTTTTTTTTTAATGCAGCCTTCTTTTTAGCTGCTACATCTTTTGATTCATTAAGTATGTGGTCTGCCCTATATCGTTTTCAGATGTACTACTGGCAATCCAGGTGGTTCTCATCTTATATTTCTGCAGCTGGTTCTTCCTGCCTAAGTGTAGAACCTGAAATTTCCTCCATTGAAATTCTCTCTTTAGTTTTTAAAGTTTTAAGCCGTTATTTCCAATCTGTTGAGGTCATCTGGAATCTCAATTCTGTCTTCCACAGCATAGGCTACCTCTCCCAGTTTCGTGTCATTTGCACATTTGATGAGCATCCCCTCAATTACTTCATCCAAGTCTTTTATAAAGATGTCGAACAACGGACCCAGAACAGAACCCCACGGCACCCCTCTTGTCACTTTTTTCCAGGATCAAAAGGAACCGTTAGTGAGCACTCTTTGGGTTTGGTTAGTCAGCCAATTACAAATCCATCTAACTGTTACGTCGTCCAGTCCATATTTTACCATCTTTTCTTCAAGAATATCATGGGGGACTTTGTCAAAAGCCTTACTGAAATCCAGATACACTATGTCCACAGAATTCCCCTGATCCACCAAGCTTGTAACTATCAAAAAAAGAAATGTGATTCATCTTCCAAGATACCCCTTGCAGACCTGGAAGGTTACTTCAGCTTCATGGAAACTATGCTATAATAACTAATGTGCTTTAGAGGGCTGAGGACGGTGACCTGAAAAGCAACTATGATGTAGGAATGTGGTAGCCAACATACAGGAGCCTTATGTGATCTGGCCAGATTCTCAGCTGACTTGCAGAAGCATCACATGGATAGATCTAGGGTCTAGGCAGGGTGGTGAGGATGGTAGGGTAGAAAAGAGACAGTAGTTAATGAGCCATTTGGCCCCAACAAGAGCTCCAGAGTTAGGCATTGTTAGGCTAGGGTGGAAATAGCAGTGCAGTTACTAGGCTCCCATTCTGAAGCCCTTTGCTGCACAGCTATCTAGGAAGGAGGCAAGATTTTTCTGGACAGAGAATTTCTAACCAACTGTTTCAGCCATAGTGAATTTGTGAGAAAAGAGACACGATGTCAGTTCTTTTTTTCTGCCTATTGATACCTAAATTCTACATACTTTCCTCCCCAGGACTAAGGTGCTTGTTTAGCAATGTTTTATTTGTAGTTCACTACCCCCACCACTTCCTTTTCATTCTGCAAGAGCTCAATTAAACATTGCCATAATGGAAATACTATCTTTTCAAAAAGACTAAGTAGGTCTCTGGCCAGTTCAGTTTAATTTAATCAACAATTAATTCAAGCATATTGGGTTTTGTTCTGTTTTGTTTTAAAAACATACAAAACAACTTTGATTTGTTGAAGCTGTTGACTTTCCAGCTAAAGGAGCAATTCATGAGCCCTTGTGTTTTTGACTTAGTATTTCACTGATCTGTTGAGGGTGCAGTAATGCCTCATCATAGTCCACCATTTCTAAAAGTGGAAACGCCACTAAATAAAGCATAGTTTTTAAGTTGTTGGTCTACTGAGGTTAAATATTTAAAAGAGAGCAGGTGCTCTATATTTTTATTAGAGCCGTTCTGTCATGCAAGAAAAGAGCAAGGAGATTGTGAGAGGAAGAACTTTTAGACATACAACTCCCCCACTTGCAGTGCCCCGGTTCTGTACCATGAGATGCAGCTGTGTATGTTGATTGGCTGTAACCATGCAGAGGATTGGCCATCTCATGGAAACATTTTGATGAGGTCTATATCAGTGACCATCTAAGTGGCTGGCAAGCAACCAACAAGGACACAATAGTATTCAAATGATGTTATATACTCCCCAAAAGCCCCCCAAGAGGGGTCTTTATAAGAGATGGGGTGAAGGACCAAGCAAGCACCCAGGGAAAGAGAGTTCCAAAGCCTAGATGTGGTTTTCAGAAAGACCTTATCCCACATATTCGCCAGCCTTACTTTATAAGAACATAAGAAGAGCCTATTGTATCAAGCTAATGGCCAATATAGTCCAGCATCATCTTCTCACAGTGGCCAGCTGATGCCTATGGACCAACCCAGTCCTCACGCAGGACCCAAGCACAAGATTACTTTCTCCTACCATGGTTTCCAGCAACTGATATTCAGAAGCATTACTACCTCCAACTGTGGAGAAAGATAATAGCCATCATAGCTATTGATTGCCATGAATTTGTCAAATTATTTTCTAAAGCCGTATAGGTTGGTGGCTGTCACTGTGGGAGTGAGTTCCATACTTTATATGTATCTTGTGAAGAAGTACTTTCTTTTATCTTTCACAAATCTTCCAACATTTAGCTTCATTGGATGTCCATAAGTTTGAATGTTACAAGTGATGGAAAAAAGCTTTTCTCTGTCCTCTCTCTCCATGCCAGGCACTATTTTATAAACTTCTATCACTTGCCTCTCTTATTTGCCTTTTCTCTAAAAGGTCCCAACTCTGCAGCCTTTCCTCATAGGGGAGTTGCTCCATCTCCTTGATTATTTTGGTTGCCCTTTTCTGAACTTTTTCCATCTCTGCATTATCATTTTTGAGCATATCAGATAACAGGGGCATGGATCCAGGACCTCAGCTGAAGATCTATCAGAGCATGTAGGCTCCTGTGGAAGGAGGCAGTCCTTAAGACGAATGTGGAATTTGAGGCCCTCTAGATTATGTTGGCTTGAAATGCCATCAGTCCCAGGCAGCATAGCCAATGGTCAGGGATGATGGAAATTGTATCCCACCAACCGGAAGGCTATCAGTTCCCCACTCCTGTTAAAATATCCTATTTCCAGGCTGCTTAGGGCTTTAAAGGTCAATATCTGCACTTCAAATTGGGCCCAGAAGTAAATGGGGAGCCAGTAGAGTTGACACCACACTAGGGTCATATGCTCCAGTTCGGACTCTTGCTGCTGCTTGTATCTTTGGGGAACCTCTGCCTGTTCTTTAGTGCCAGGAAAACAGTAGGCAGACTGTTTCCAGTTGCTTTATGCAGGGAAATTGTGGTCTCCTAGACTTGGAGATCTCAGGGCTTTCCTCCTTTCCTCCTCCAGCTTCTGAATCAATTATAACTTCTTTTAGTATATTTTTTATTGATTTTTTTATTTAAAAAAGCTACAAAGAAATACAGTAGCGTGCATACAGAAGTAACATTTCCATTAACACAAAGTTATACTATTATACAGAATTAGTTACAACTTCTGATGTTCTCCATGTCTGCTTCTCATTACAAGACTTGGATTGGGAATCGAAGACGAAAATATCGTCTAATGGGAATTGAAGTCCTCCCTCCTCTAGGTGGCCCTGCTCTTTTCCCCAATCAATCTGATTCCAGCAGTAGATCAATAACCATTCCAGAAGATGATGCTTCGACAGATGTTGGAGATGATAATGACAGGAATGATGAAGTTTCAATATGTTTATCAGAAGGAAGCTCACAAGGTATTCAAACTTGTCACTAGTATTATATTGTTATTTCTGTTCAATCTTATCCTAATAGTCTGAATGTTGCCTGAATGTTGCCTCCCTTTATCCCAAAGCTACTCCCAGGAAGTAACTAGCATTTGGATCCTAAATGCATTTACTTGGGGCTAAATCTAAATATGTTCAGGATTACAAAGTTTTCCTTTAGCCCTGGGAAATCCTCAAAAGATAAGGAAGCAGCCTTATAAAATGTCAGAGCATTGGCCCCCCACCTACCTCATTGGCTATGTTTACTGGCAGCAGCTCTCCAGAGTTTCAGATAGGGTCTTTCCCAGTCCCACCTGGAGATGCCCGGGATTGAACTTGGGACCTTTTGCACACAACGCAAATGGCATACCTTGTAGTAGTCAGTTGGGCGGTGAAGGCAGGATGGTGTTGCGCACCTGACTTGCAGATAGCAAGCACTGCTGCTGCTTGCTGTGTGGGGGATGGATGAGGCGTAGAGAGCCTGTTGTTCGGTGGGGATGATGGCAGAAGTGTTGGATTGACTTCACTGCTTGCATGTGCTGCATTCAGCTCCCCTTGCCGTGCTCCTGCCTCAGTGATGCTTGCCATTCGGAAGCCAAGTGCAAAATGGCTCCTCGCCTTTGCTTACACCTCTGACTGCTACTGGGCATACCACTGAGCTATAACACTTTGCCAACTGAAAACACAGCTGAAAGTTAGAAGTGGAGAAGGCAGGATTTGCTAGAAGAAAACATGCGCTCAGTTGAAATGAGGCTCATATTGCATGTGGAAGTGCCATTGTACGCATTCACAAAAACCACATGTCAAGGAGTGAGAGCTGGATCTTCGAGTCACAGTGAATGCGGTTTGTCCCTCAGGGTCAGAGAGGATTGTTCAGGCACCTCTCTGGATTGAATACATTGTTGTTGCCATGAGGATGTAGGATAAAGCTAGCTGCTTGGTAGCTTCTGTGCATCCTCGTTAGTTTGTTCCAGATTTTTGAGGGTGTGATTAAGAATGGTAACTGCCAGTGCTTTTTTTCTGGGTTCCTCAAGGGTACACAGTACTGGAACCCTTTTTTCTAGAAGAAAAGCACTGGTAACTACAGCGTGGTTTGTGTAGCTGGCTTTCCCCCATCCCACCTCAAGAAATTAGTTCGACTCAAGGAAGAGGCATCAAAGTGTCTGCCACATGGGAAGATGTCTAGAAAATGTCTACCTCTTCTAGCCCCATCCCTAGTGTGGAAACCAGTCCCAGTCAGGGTGGTGATCAGTATCAGTATTTTTGAACATCTCCCATTAATCAGTTGAGCAACAGGCAGGGCCAGCTGTGTAACAGGTTTGCTGGCCTTTCAGGAGGAAAGGGGTATGACAGTGACCCCTTAACAAAAAGCCAGTTCCTTGCCCAAGTGAAATGGCAACTGTAATTCAAACTTGACTACATAGAAGGTGGAAGAGCCACAACAGCAATGATTTTGATGCAGTGTTACAAAACGGAAGAACCAACAACATAGTTAGGAGTGAACTTGCAGTTGCACATTTCACTAGCTTTACAAGTTCAGCTAATTGCTCCTGGTGTTTCTGACTAGAGCAAACCAACAAAGACTTTGGCTTTTGAACTTCAAAAAAAATAAATAAAAAAAATAGACACATTTGCAGATTTGTATGCCAGGCTTGATCTTATCGTTTTGTTTGAACAACTTGCTGAGAAAATGGCCCAAAAACCCGAGAACTGTTGGGAGCAAACTTGTGATGGGTTTGTCAGAATTTCAATTATAAAAAGAATAAGATACCAACATAGAATTGGTTGAAAATGACTGAAAGCCAAGTAAGTTAACAAAGTCTGGAGATCTTCTCTGCCTTGGGGTGAAGGAAGCAACTCCTCCAGCAGGACAGTAGAGAAATAGTCAGAACATTCTGCAGTTCAAGTGAAAAGCTGCCTTAATATTAATTGGGTCTGGCACTCTGACACTTATGAGATGGAACTGCCAGGGCGAGGCAGGAAGAAGATGATTGTAATCAATACCCCACACAGCTGCAGGGTAAATACAGAATTTCTTAAGACCAGAATAAAAAGAGGCTTGGTTATTTTATATACACACACACACACACACACACACACACACACACACACAGCTCAAAACTTGTTCAATCAGAGGAGAACTGCTGGCCCATGGGCCAAATGTGGACCTCCAGGCCTTACTGTCAGGCCCTTGGAACTCTCTCTAGGCCACAACCGTGCGATCCCTGCACAAAGCTCAAGTATTCTTACCTTGCCATAACGTGTCTGTTAACTCTAATATGCCTGAAATATGTGTATGTATAGAAATCTTCATGTGACTGGAGTGTAGCCCACTGTAAATATACCCACTGCCCTGCCCCTTTTACCTCTGACCCCGTCCATACCTGGCACACAGCCCTGGAAGGTTGTCCATGGCAGAATATAGCCCTTGAGTTGAAAAAGATTCCCCACCCCTAACTTAAAGAGACACCAATGGGACTCTAGGACATACAATGGATCTGCCATTCAGTATTCACTGTTTTAGCTGTCTTGTGTACTTGAATTTTGGTGGGACTTGGCTACTGTTTTGGATTGAGTAATGTGCTTTGATGCAGATAATCCTTAAAAAGATATTTGTTTACCATCCCATGGTGATGGCATAGTGATCCTTATAGCTGGACTATAGATTGTAAGATTATTACAGTTTCTAACAATATTAGCTTCAGAATATGACCACTTAATAGTCCAGAACCTCTATGTTAACTAAAGGTTATTTCTTCTGACTGTGTAAATTAATAGGCAGCAGAGGTTGTATTTGGAAAACGGATCATTACTATAAGCTTCCAGGTTGAATTCAGTGCTGGGAAAAAGCATGGTGTGTGTGAAATGGGCAGTTTTTTTCCCCTCTCTGTAAGGTGTGAATTACATAACACCTTATGAATTCAGGAACTTATTCTAGAAACACATATTTTGTTTCATTTCTGTAGAAGAACAAAGTGAAGTTCTTCAGAATGAAGACACTGGCCACGGAAGAGAAGACCAGGCTACTCTAACTGACACTAATGGGGTACGGATGTTTCCTAAAACTTAATAGTTTGATTAAATCCAGTTACTCGGATGGGCTGATGTATGAAGGGCCACAGTTTTTTCCATTGTTTTTCTGGTAGGTTCTATATTCAAGGCTCTTATGCAAATGCAGAAACTATGATGTGCACAGAGTCACACATCCTGAAAACCTCTAAATTGGTTAAAAACAACCAAAAAGATGCAGGGGCATCTGATGTTCTAATCGTATGTCAGTACCTTTTTGATTTCAAAATGAAAAGCACCATTTGCCTTTTCAGACAATACAAATCATAGACGATGAAGAAGATGGTATGATAAGTGAAATAGAACAATTGAATTGTCTTCTGGAATTCAAAGTAAGTAACTCCTGTAGAAAACAGCTAACATTTGTATACAAATAGAAAGGTGATTAATCAGCTTAAACCCAAAGTGCGGGCTTTGTTCAAGGAATCGAAATAAGAGCCTGAAAGGACAGAATTAGTTTGGAAGAAATTCAAAAGAAGCAAAGAAAGACACAAGACATCAAATGTTTACTTAAAAAATCAAACTCTTAAATGATACCAGTTTTTTTTTTTACAAAATATTGAAAGCCCAACATTCTTCAGTTGACGGCAGCTTTCTTTGGGGCAACTGAAAAAACTAACATAGGAATTGATGAGCCAACTAAAATACAGTTGATTATAAACTTATATTATACACTTATTTTAAACTTTATTTATCATAAACTTAGGCACTATATGGAACAACCTATTTTTAATGCATCCAATGTCAGAGTAGACCCATTGGAATTAATGGACATGACTAACTTAACATTTACTCTGAGTAGGACACAACCCATTATACATGGGACATTCTGCAAAATGAAAACTAATCTATTTTCATTTTTGCCTTAACGCTGATGAGCTGGTAACGGAAGGGAGAGAGATAAGGAATTTATTTCAGTCACACAATACAACAATTCTGCTGTTCCGTTATTACAAACTGTGTGACCCATTAACCTTTTGAGGCAACCCATTTCTGCTTAATGTCTCTATCCTAAAACGTACAGTGTGCAGGAACTTGAGGGTGGGTGAGTGATGAGGAAGGGGAATATTGCCAACTAAAACAGTTCAATGTCATGAAGGATGCATTGAAGTTTGAGGATATTATTGCATGCTCGCAGGCAGATGGCGCAAGACCCAATGTTTAGGAAGAAGCTGCTGATTGCTTTGAAGACAGACGGCTGTTCCAATTTCAGCAGCTTGCAGATTACAGCTGAACATTTGCTTTTGATGCTATATGAGCAAAAGCAGTTGGAAACCGTGACAACTGTTTTTTGCCAAAATTGCGAAAGGTTACATGTGTACATAAGAATTGGAGGTGGCTTACTTTCAATTCAGACGCCCTCGAACAAATTTCAGTTGGTGTTAGAATAAAATATGTATTTTTTACTAGAACTTTGCCTACACTGAAATGAGTAATGTCTTTAAAGCACACACAACGTGTGCATAATTGATGTCCATGCATTAATTTCTGGACTCTGCCTTCAGGATAAGAGCAGTGCTGAATGAATGTGTGTGTATGTGGTAATGACCTTTTCTTAATGTCACTTGTCACAATACTGAATGTCTTGTTGTGACAGTGTGTCCTACAAAACCCTGTTTGTTGATTTTTTGAATTACGTTTTGACATGTGGGCTTCTTGGTCACATAGTCCATTTGCATAAATATGCATGTTTACTTTCATAGGTTCCCCACAAGCTTTTTTAGCCAGTAAGAAATTGGATAAGCTTTTTAACACCCCCCAAGCTTTCTGTGGACCCCAAAGACAGCTGTTTTGAAAGCCACTTTGTACTGCCTGTTTTCCTCAGTTAAGGGGCCAGTTGTCCAGTGGTGGTTTATCGCTGCCGCCAGCCCACCCTTCTCTTTTTTAAACAAAAACAAAAAACAAAATATATTTAACTTGTGAAGCTATTGCTGTTTGCCTTACTGCTAAATGAAAACTAGCAAACACCTATGCTAACTGGAGTCTGTTTGATCTCCAGCAGCTTCTTAAACTAGGGTAAGGAAAACAATTTGCCTTTCCCCCAATTTTTTTGTGGTTATACCATTTCAAGAGCTCTGGAGTAGGGTTTTCTGGTTTTGTAAAATAAAAAAATAAATAAAAATCAGCATATTCCCTATAAAGCTCTGTAGGGGTTAAAACTGCAACACTGATTCATTATTTGCTGTTTCTGTTTTTAAAATGTGCTAATACTGTTGGGGTACACTGGACCCCCTCCCATTATTTAGGATGAACTCAGTATTTCATTAGGGCATTTTTTTGCTTTCTGATTTGTCTTTGTCTCCCCCAGCCTCTGGGCTTCCTCATAGCCCAGAGAGAAATTTCAGTTAGCGTACCAGGTCTAATGAGCCCTATTAGCTTTTTAAAATTCAATGCCAATATTTTAAAGTTTCTAATCTGGAGTCACTTTGAAATTGATGATTAACTTTATTTCCAGTTAGGACTTCAAAAAGAATTCATTGGAACCCCTACAGCAGATAATGTTTTTTTAAAAAGTTGTTTGACAGTTTTGATTCTTAAAATAAGTATAAATAAATATTTTATTACAGTAAAATAACATTTATTGTAATAAAAGTTATGGACTGCAGCATCCCTCAAGCCTTCAAAGGTGCCTTACAGTGCTTAGGCAAACCTCTAATAGTTAAAGGCCATGAGCTGAAATAGCTCTTTCAATTCAGAGCAATATGTTTCCAGTGGTTTCCCCACTGGAATGAACTCAGCATATCAAGTAAAACTTAAGCGTTTTTCAGAATTTGTTTTGCCCATTCCTGTTGTCTGCCCTGCAAGGCAACTGCCGAATGGGATCTGGTGTTGCAGCCATGCATATTTGTGATGTTAGAAGTCATACTGTGGTTACGCTTCGCATGATTCAGATGTGCCCTGGAACAGGATGAGTGTTTTTATTTGTTGTTGAAAAGGCTAGAGTAATGGCTACAATGAAGGACTTAAGATATTTCTATCCATTTCATTTAGGACTGTGAACCACCACCAACTGTTTTTTGCACAAGTTCAGTATTGCTGCATTGTGTGCTAGTAGTTAATCAGAAATGAAAGTGCTAAGTTCATAAGGGATAGCTTAGTTGATAGAGCATGAGGCTCTTAATCTCAGAGTTTGGGGTTTCGAGCCCCACATTGGGCGAAATATTCCTGCATTGCAGGAGGTTAGACTATAGATGACCCTTGTGGTCCTTTCTGACACTACAGTTCTGTGATTCTGAAGTCCTCAACCCAGAGCAAACCACAGTATGCCAATTCAGGATGCTGACTTGCTTGGCACCACTAGTTAAAAGGTGGCTGAGGTAACAGCCGTTTGCAGGCATCTGTAGGGCTGGGCTATGAGGGTAGTTAACACCATCCTTTATTTGAACTTGAAAAAGTCATTGCCTTTCAAACATAAGGATAACAAGCATCAGGCTTGTAACCTTCAGAATATTCTTAACACAATGCAAAATTAATACATGAAATCCACCGCAACATTGATAGCCACTCATGTAGGTGGCTTTAAAAGGAGAGCTCATGGGAGACTAGGTCTGTCATCAGGTATTTGTTCTGATGTCTTAAAAAAAGTTTTATTGAATTTTTTGTCAAAGACAAAGCAATGAATAATTGTGGAATAAAATAACAACAGCAAACCAATTACCAAATTACAGTCTTTCTTCACTGAATATCGTATGGTATTTAAATACTCCAACCATAGCAAAGAATGAGAAGCTGGAGGGATGTGGGAAGATCCCTCCCTGCCAATATATTGTCTGATGTCTGTATGGAACCCCCGTATTCATGGGATGTCTGCCACTGAATCAGAATGCTGTACAGAAACCTGTCCTCCAGCTTGATGAAAGTTTTCATCCCCTGTGAAAGGGGCTCCTGTTTTTCTGCCTCTTGGGAAATTTAGGATTTCTTTATAATTTCAATATCTACAGCATTGAACTTACTTTATTGCTGCAAGGTGTCATGGATAGTATATGTGTATTTTCCCCTTTCATTAAATAATTCTGCAGCCTCTCCAGTTGCCTGAAAAAGCCCTGTGGGAGAAGTTAACCTCATGACATATTTACATTGCAGCATGGGACGCCAAGAAGGCATCCATTGCTTTCATTTTTAAGGGAAGTTCTTCCTTTTGGTATTAAAAACTAACTCCACACTGATTTATTTAAAAAGTAAAAAGACTTCATTTAAAAACAGAACAGTGAACAGCTGTCAGGTAGACAGTAGGCAGCCTCCCCAGCTTCATGTACTTACAGGAAAGCAAACTGAGAACATTATGGGACTTTCATAAAATGCAGTCACCCAGGAAGGTTGAAGAATGCATACAGATCATCAAAGAGATGACCCATAGATGGGAAGAAGGGAACTCAGACCTCCACTTGGACACCATAAAAGTAAAGACAACAAAAACCCTCCACCTGACACATAAAAAATTTTCACTGACATTTTCTGTCCCCTTTAATAATATTCAAATGCAATTTCATCAATCATTAGTTGATAGAGAATTGTCAAAAAAGTGCAGGAGACATTTTTTGGCATAATACCACTGAATGCCGCTTGGTGTGTGTGTGTGTGTGTGTGTGTGTGTGTGTGCGTGCGCGTGTTTCAGGTCCTGATTATGGGCATCTTCCTAGCCACTGTGGAAAACCTTTGGTGAGAATGTTCTTAAGGGTATTAATCAGATGTCCTGCAACTACTTGGCTGTATGTGTAAACAAGACAAATGTATGCTCTTGACATACTTTACTTGTCCAGATTTGATCTGTTCTTTGTTTTAAAATGTTCCCTTTTTATATTTCCCCCCTGTTGTTGTATTAAATGAGGAATGTAACAATCAATCCTTTCATAGCCCAGTGCTGAACTTCCCCCTGTCACACGACTGCTCTGCCCTCAAAATATATTTTCTCAGAAAGTACACTGTGGAGTTCTAATTTGCAAGTCATCCTCACAAATGAGGAAAGGGAAATCATTCATGCTTGCTGAAATGTTTTTCTGCTTGCTGTCTTTCTTCACACCTTTTATTTAGGAAAGCTCACATCTTTTAAAGGGGGGAGGGGAGAGCCCTGATCAAGCCCTCTTAAGAGGAATCACAGTGGATACCTGTGCAATATTTCTAGTGGTGTACTCACAGCAGTGTTTGTTGAATGAGCCTTATGGAATGTCCTCCTTGTGTCACTCCCCTGTGATAAGAGAACCGGAGGTGGTGAGGTGGTGGAAGCACTGCAGGCTAATCTGTTTGCAGGCTAATGAAGAGGGGAAATGGAAATTTGCAGGGAGCAAAAAGGGCCATCAGCTTAGCTTCTCCTCACTCCTCTGGACTTGCTGGAGCTCCCATCACCATTCCCTAGTGTGAGGCCATTCACACTTCTAGTTGTAAAAGTTGCAGTTATCATGGAGTGCAGGGCAGTGTCTGACCTGGTGGTGACTTTACCCCCACAGTCTATTGGTTCTTGCTGGCTTGAGGCTCTGAATGCTGCTGCCCCTCAATCACTAGTCTTCTCCTTGAGTGGGCTGTATCTGCTTCTTGCCAGTCTTGCTGCTCTTGCCTCTCCTCCAGGGCCTGATTTGTGCCATCTATCCATAGAGACAGAGATGGGCTCCTTCTCTGTCTTTGCTTATGCATTCAGAGAGGGCAGGTGGAGAAGCAGCAATCACAAGGAGCAGCAGCAAAGCCAGAAAGCTCCACCGATTGGCAGTGGCGCCTTGGTAGGTGCCCAGTGATGCTGGCCCTTGCTCCAAATTCGGGGCTCTGCAATAAACAACTGGGGCTGTACTTTGACTTAGAGCCTTGGTAGAAGCAGGCTGGAAGTACAGCTCTGTTCACTAGGCAGAAGATACTTGGTACCAATCCCGAGGGATCTTTCTCCTCTCCACTCATGGGTGGTAACCTGTTCCCAACTTACCTGAACAGGGTTTTGGAACCTGAACACAAGCAGACCTGATTAGACTAGACACTTTGGTAGCCTCAGGTAGAGAATATCTGTTAAGCATTCTCTCTCTAAATTTTGCCCATTGTTGATACTGTTCCAAGCATACTTTGAAATTTTCAAGTAGAACTTCATTCAGTTATTACCATGTATTTGCAACATAATCTCTTTTTTAAAAAAACCAAAGAAACAGCTAGGGGTTTTATTCATATCAATCTGACTTGAAACTGAATAGCCTGGGTTAGTCCTTTAATTTCAGTGAGTCTGCTCTGCATATGATTAACAAAGGGAATAATTTGGTTCATTGTACTCCGAAGATGATCTTTGGGGTTGTGCATATATATGTAATTTCCCATCCTCTCCGCTTAGACCCAGGAAGTAAGGTTCGCTGAAGAAGACCTGGAGCATGAAAAAAAGAAATATGTTGAGCTACAGGCTTTCACTCGGCGTTTGATACTTGCTGTCAAAATGGATGATAAAGAACAGCAGCAGGTAAGACGAAAGTGTAAACAGCCGAGAAGATCTTATGTTATAGAGGTGTGCAGCGACCACAAATTTTGCCTTGTATCTCTAGCACTTGGAAGCAGTCCAGTCTTCTTCAGATCCACCCTGTGCCATTCTGATTTAATTTTTTGTTTGAGTCTGAATCTGATCCGTAAATATGAAGCTCATTTTTGTTCCCATTGACTAATTGAGAACCCACAAACCTCTATATTGGGTTTTTTCTTTTCACATAGATGGATGAAATTTGCAGACAAGAGAGCATATCCAGAGTGAATTACGCTTGCAAAATTTCAGGCAGATCCATGCCAGGCTTTTTATGCAAGGAATTGTTGAACTCACTTTCTTTTTTCTTTCCTACCAGAATTGGGTACAAGTTTCAGGCATGATCACCCCTGCTGAGTAAATGAAGCCTGCCAAATATCAGAAAGATAGGTGCAGTGGTTCTCCCACATGGGCAAACTTTATTGGTTGGGGTAGGAAATAGAAATTGTTATAAAAAGCTATAAATGTAACTCTCTTTCTAACTTCTCCTCCCTAGCTGAATACTCTCAGGGAAGAAAAGAGAGGGAGAGCAATAATTTTTAATTGTTTGTTATGAAAAATATTTTCTAGTCAGTCAGGCTAAACCTAAGCATTCTGATAAGGGTTCATTTCAAAGGAACTGTGGTACCTTGGTTTTCGAAAAGCTTAGTTCTCGGAACATTTTGGCTTCCGGATGCCGCAAACCTGGAAGTGACTGTTACGGTTTGCCAACTATTTTAGGAAGCCAAACATCCGACAGGGCTTCCACAGCCAATCAGAAGCTCCTGCAGCCAGTCAGAAGCCATGTTTTGGTTTCCGAATGTTTTGGAAGTCGAACGGACTTCCGGTACGGATTCCGTTCAACTTCCAAGGTACGACTATACGGTTATTTAGAAATAAGCTCCACCAACAGAACTAAATTATTTTCAAATAAGCATGCCATGAGCATGTTTAAGGCAAGGCTCTTTGTTGCCTTTGCTGCAAACAGCACTTGCCAGAACGCACCAGAACTCAGTTCCAGCACCTCTCTGGTGAGCCCCATTGCCATTCTGAGAGAACAAGGGAGCTGTTTGGCACCTCTTTTTCTAGAAAAATAGAAATAGAAAAATGGCTGCAGGAGATTAGTACATCTACCCCTCTAAAAACATTTTTAGATAGCAAAGCCTGCATGATCTAATTGAATTATATTTCTAACACAATTAAAGTACCTAATTGTTAAGAGGCTTATTTAATAAATTTATACCACAGTATTTGGGCAGCTTACATTAGCCATTGAAAACAACTAATGAGGCCCTGCAAGAAAACTTAGCAGTGTGCAGTTCTCTTGTTTAAGGTTTCATCCAGCAGTTGCTCTGTAGAATGGTAGCACTATGAAGCAGTTGCTGAGATCTCCTTTCTCTCTGCCAAGGAGTGTTGCTTTCCTTGTTTCCCCTCCAAGGAGTTGGGTCAAATACGAACTACGGTGCAGGAAAGTAACCAGGACTGCTACTCCACCAGAAGCTGTTGCAGCTTCTCATTTATTTATATTTTGTATTCTAATTCAGGCACTTCTGGCAGACTTGCCTCCAGATTTAGAAGAGATGGATTTCAATCATTCATTTCCGGAACCTGATGATACCTCGTTCAGCTTGTCGTCTTCATCGGAGAAAAACACCTCGGACAGTTTGTGATCTTTGATGCAATGCAATGTACTTGCCTAATCTGTATGTTTTGAACAAATTGCATTTTGTTGGCCAGTACCCTTGAATATGAAGGTGGGGGGTAGGGGTGGAGGTGGGGAGACTAGCAGCCTCGTTAACTGGGGGAGGTAGGTGGTAGCCACAAATTCAGAATTTTGTTTTTGTTTTTTTATTTTGGTGAATGTGAAAGCTACTTGAGAAAAATACACTATGGTTCTAGCATCTATTCCTTGGTTATTGTACCTTTTTATTCATTACTGACCTTCGGTAACAAAGCCCTGCTCTGAGCAGTGCAATAAGTAAAATGGAGAAAAAGTTGTGAATTATGCTAACAATTCAACCATACTTCCCTAATCTAGCCCACTAGTTCTGTTCAATGCCTTCGCTCCCTTGCCCCTCCTCAGGTAGTTTAGCAGGTCACTGGAGATTAAGGCCTTCAGGAGATCAGTGAATAAAAGTTGGGCCCTCACTAAAACGGCGATGGTGATTCTGAACAAGGGTTCAAGCTAAAGAAGCTTGCAATTGTACCTAAGAGCAAATCATTGCTTCTTCTCTCATCTCCACCTTTCTCCAATGCCTGAAAAATTATTGGAAGAGTAAAGCTAGCTATCTTAATTGATTTCAGTAAATTATGTTGTGCATAGTGGCAGATGGAAATCCTGAACAAAAATAGTTGGCTTTTTTTTTTTTTTAAAGGAATGCCCAAATGCTGGGAAAAGCAACAATTTCCAGTAGCCCCAAGACTCTCTTCCATTGTACATAGTGAGAGTGTGTGGCAATAACACTGGAGAAGTCACAAAGGAACAGCATGTACACAGATCCAAAATTTACATTTGACTTCTGTAGCTTATTTATATGACCAAGCCTCAGCTGAAGGCTGCCCAGAAGATGCTTTTGTAGTTCACAGGGGAGCCTTCTCCTTGGCTGAGACTGAGAATCAACAGACAGAGCTTGGGAACTTGAGGACTGAGAGAACTGTTGATAAATGATGTTCCCAATGGAAGTACTCCCTGGCATTGCTATTTGGAACAGCTGCTCAACTCAAATATGAGTTAGCCTAGATCCCCCCCCCCCATATCAACAACAACAACACTGACTTGTGAATTGGCTGTGGCATACAGACCAGCAACTTAAAAACACTTTTAATATGTTCCTGACTTGGAAGTCATTTATTTCAACTTGTTAGGCAAATACGAGCTCATGCAGAACTGAGCTCGATGACAAATGCATTTTAGTCACCCGTATCTGTTGCGTGGGTCGAAATCTTGATGTGCATCAAGTGTTCAAAATAATGAGTTTTGAGATACCCAACACACACACGTCACTATTTTCCTCAGCTCTTAGGACTGAGTCTGTTTAACCACTTCAAGATTTTTTATCTACAGTTGCATATATCTTTAATTGGATGTTGAAAGTGTTAGATACTTTTTTTCCCCTATTGCCAAGAAAGATGTATGGTTTGCTCTTTGGGATGCCATTTCTCTTTTAAAAAGACACGTTTTATTATTTCTCTGATTCAGTAACAAAACTTGGTGTGAAAGAGCTGTTATCCTACTCCCAAAGTAACCTTGCACATCATTGATAGCCTCCTTCACTCTGTCCATCACAGCCTCAACGTGTAGCTCTGCTCCCTCCCTCCCTTTCAACTGCTTTGGTCCTTGCTTGAAATGGCAAAGGGAAACAGCTTAAATAGAAAAACAACTCTCCCCCCCCCCATCAAGAAGACAATTTTAGTGGCAAAGAGAGAAGCGATGTTACAACTTGACTTTTTATCCAAGGGCAATTGCTCTGTGTCCCAAGGTGGGGAGGCAAATGACTAATTGCCTCTCTGTATGATAGTTCTAATCGACTTGACTATGATCACAGATGTTTTTACTGCGCACTAAAAATATATAGGATACTGTTCTGCCCCCAAGAATTCAAAATTCCTTGCCAAAAAAGGATGTATTCCTTGGACCTGTATGATATATCCTGATTTCTCTTATTTGACACAGTTCTGTTATTTTTGCTATTTTTCTGCATCACTCTGATTTGCTTCATTCTGAGGAGGGGCAGGGAAGTATTCAGGACATTGAAGCCCCTACCCCCACTTCCCCATGCCCATTGGAAACCTCATTCAGCCATCCCTCCAGGTTCTGTGATTTCAGGAGGCATTACCCACACAGTGTTTTTAGCACAGCTTTGTTTGCAGCAATAAGGGCTAGAAACCTGCTGCTTAAAAATGAAAGTTGAGATTCTCAGGAAGCTTTTAAATCTCTTCCCAAGGCCATGTTGTATATCTCCCCACCCCCACCCCTTGCATTCTCCTGTAATCATGTCACAGGCATAACTTATGCTGTGAGGAGTAAAATCCACCAGAAAAGTACTTTCAATAAAAAAAGAAATGAAGAGAGTGGGAGTGATAGGGAAGAGGCAGAAGTGTAGTGGGTAGCAATGTGGAAGAGGGAGGCAGTTAGAGAAGGAGGATGTTTGGACAATAATGGGGAAAAGGAAATGGGAGAAGCAGTACAGCAGGCACATATTGCCGAACCCTGCAGTTATTTTGTGTCATGCAAGTCAAAGTCCTTTCAGAGAGCACAGATTTTGATTGTGTGCCATTAGATATTGTGGAAAGGATCTATACAAGACCTAATGGACCTGCACAGTACCTTGATGCTGGAAACCTTTTTCTTCCACTTACTTCAGTTTAGCACAAATGCACTGCTCGCTATAGCTTTTGGGTTGTATCTGACTAAGTCATACTTGGAACAGAGCCATTGCCATTAATGGCCCTCAAAAGCCATTTATTTCAATGGGTCTGCTCTGAGTATGGATAACATTGGTTTACAACCTGTTGAGTGTTGGCAGTTAATTGCTTTTTTCTGCCCTAGCTTTCTATTGGTCATCATAGAATGCAAGTGAATGGATGTGAGTAGAAAGGCAAGGCATATCTCTGAAGAACCCATAATTTGCTAACCTTTCAATGAAAAATTTAGTTTTCTGTACTTTTGACTACCTCCCACTTAGGTGCCCAGGTTTCCCCAAGCGGACTCACATTTTACTTGGCTAGAAGTAAAATGTGAGAACTTGAATACTGCTTAGGCACGTCCCTTGTGATTGTCCTGGAAAGTCCTGCATCAATTTTTATTGTTTTATCAATCATTTATTGATGCACTTCCCTTATGCTAGGGAACGCTCTTCCTTCCCTCAAGAACCCTTGACAGTAAGACATTTGTTCCAGTTTACACGCACAACACAGCCAGTGTGTTTAAGGGCTTGGTTGGGATTTGAATATAACTCTGCAAGACTTTAATTTTAACATCTTGGGGGCCTTGTTTGCATATTCTTGTGCACTTCTTGATGTCATGGAATCTTAGAGTTGGAAGGTACCCAAGGGTCATCTGGTCCAACCCCCTGCAATGCAGGAATTTCAGCAGCTGAAATGTATGACCTGACTTAGCCCAAAAATGTATTTTATATGGATGTGACTGAGCCGCAATAGCTGTTTGATAGTCTTGCAATCTTCAAGAGATGCAGATATGCATTTTTATTTATTTCTATTTATTTTATTTAATTAACTGTCTGTGCCAGCCTTCTACACTCAGGTTAGTTTGCAGCGGATCATAAGCCTGTTCGAATTTGTTAGCCTGTATATTCAGTAGAGCAGGCATTATGGGGAGAGTCTGTGGCCCTCTAGATGCTGCTGGACTCGAGCTCTCATCCGCCCGGCCTTGCCTCTGCCAATGGTCCAGGGGCAGGATGGGAGTTGTAGTCCAGTTAACTCTTGGAGGGCTGTAAGCTCCCTGCACCACATCCATCAGGTTCGATCCGGGACTTGTCTTTTTACTAGAACCTTTAACATGAACCCAGGTGATCAGACACAAGGGAAATCAGGACTCCCTTTTAACAATTCTATAAAATGGAATTTTGGTGGAATCGGCTTGGGTAGGGCACTTGCAGCTGCTGAAATTTTCTTTTCTGTACAGCTGCAGGAGTGGCTGGCACACTCTCTCTTTGCCTCTCTCTCAATCTCTCTCTTTAAAAAACCCAGAATGGTAACATTCTGGCTGTGCCACCTGCATCCTATTTCGATCTGAGTTTGGCCCACTTTTTAGATCCATGCATTATGTGAAGACTAATCCACAAAGACATGCTATTCTGTACCCACTTAACCTGGGAGTAAGTTGGGGAGCTAACTTCTGTGTACGGTACCTTTTCTACCTTGGTGATGTCCCCCATGTGCAAGAACCCAATGACTTTACCACACTAACCAATGTATTTCATCCAGATGGTATTTATATGAGGGTTGAGTTGCGTACACTATTACAACTACTGGAATAGTCTTTGATATTTGGCATTGTATTACATGCTTTCACAGAGAAGGTATTAATGTTTGATTTTCATTGGAGAACCATTGGGAAAATCCTCCCCTGCCCATGAATTAATGTTAACTATGGATGGATGGGGTATAAATTTAAATCCTGATTTATTTGGATGACTATAGCAAGAATAGTTTGGACAGATCAGCACATGCTAGTTTAATGCCTCCTAGCTGCGCCTGGAATGTGGAACAGTTTAATGCATTAAAACAACAACAACCCAGTACTTAGGCAAACCACATGCCATTTTTTACATGCTACCTCTGCAAGATGACATCGCTTAGAGGCCATGCCAGACTATAATGTGACATTCCCCACCCTGTGGCAATAAGTGACTTGCAGCCAATGGTCACTTCCTTACACACACCAGCCTTTTTTTTGAACATTGCCTATATCTGGGGTGGCTGACCTGAGACTCCCAACTCCCTCCATCCTCAGCCAGCATGTTCAAGGATTAGGGGTGATGGGAGGTGGAATCCAGCGGCATTTGGAGGGCCACAGGTTGGCCAACTGGCCAGATAACTGCTGTTACAGATTTGAACTATTTTTTCTTCTGCTAATATGGTTAGCACTATGACGGTAATTAATGGCTGATTTGATAGGCAGGTGTGTGTGTGTGTGTGTGTGTGTGTG